GAAATTTCTCACCTAGAGATTTCTTAAAAAATTTGTCATTAGAAAGTTTTAAGAACTTTATCATTGTGTAATTAGTATTTAATTTCAAAATTTTTTTTTTCTTTTTTGATTGAAAATAAATATTGATTATTATTATTGAAACTTTATCTAAATTATTTTACCACTTGAGATCAATTTAGAAAAAATTTCTCACCTAATAATTTCTTATAAATTTACCATTTGAAATTTTTAAATATTTCATCATTGGATAATTATTTTTTATTCTTAAAAAAATATTTTATTTTGTTTATTTTTTCTTAAAATTTAATCTTTCAAAAATACTTTTAAAATAAATAAATAAATAAATACCAAACAAAATTGACTCGGCTTCAGGCACAAAAGGTAGCTTTAAAGATGCGGCTTAGCTCGATTGGCAGGAATAAAAGTTAGAACAGCTCAAAAAGTGACTCGACTTGGCTTGGCTTAAGACAAAAGCTAGAACGAGTCAAAAAGCAAGTCAAAGCTTCGAGTCAGGTTGACTCGAATAGAAACACACAAATCCTGAAGCTATTAAACCTCCAAAACCATGTCATTTGACCAGGTGTATAAAAGGGTAAAATTTCTCTTTTTCTTTCAGATTTCTCTTCCTCTCTGTCTCTCCCTCCACTTCTCCTTTCGCTTTCCCTTTTTTCTAGAACCTCAAGAACACTAGTTGAACTTCACCAGATTCTAAGAATTTATGTCGGAATCTGGGTTGAGTCGCTAAAAATTCACTGGTTTTTGAAATACTAACGTCGAAAACTGAGAATCACACAAAAAACTAGGAAATTTGCCAGAAAGTCATTGAAATTTCAATAGTTGCCAGAAAATTTAACCGAAAACTAAAAAAATTTCAGATAATATTTTTTTAAAAAATAAAACTGCTAATCTTCTTTTCAAAACAATGATTTCCCTAAAATATTTGGTTGCTGTCGTGAATACTTTTTCTCTGCCTTTCTGTGTGTCCACTGCTTGGTTGATTCAGATTTGTATTTATAAAGTTCAAATCAAAATAACTTTATATCAACAGAGTTTTGATTTTCTTTTAATTCTCCCTTCAAACTTTAGGTTCAACTCAAACTTTACACCCAGGCAAACAATTTTATTTAAACTCAATCACTTGATTTCTTTTTCATTTTTCCATCTTTTTATATTTTTTTTGAATTAACAAAAACAAATAGAACCCCAGATAGATTGGAGTGTCTACAAGTGTTTATATTTTTTAAATTAAAAGAAATTTTTTGTTGTTTTAATGAATTAATAAAAAATATTTTATGTTATCTGGTTATTTTCTAAAAAATTTATTTTTTAAATAATATTAATATAATTGTTAAAATATTAAAAATTATTTATTATTAAAATATATTAAAATTATTAATATAAAAAATAACTATATTTTAATAATAATATTTAATACTAAAATATTATGTTAATATAAAAAATACTTAAAATAAAACTATTTATTATTCTTTATATTATTTATTAATATACTATAATATTATTATTGATAATATTTATTAATATATTATATTAATAGTATATTATTTATTAAAATATTTATTAATTAAATTATTAATATTTATTATTATATTATTTATTAATATATTTTATTAATAATATTTTATAATATTGTTCATAATATATTATAATATAATATTATTTATTTATTAATATAATATTATTTATAAGTAAAATGTTGTTCAAAAATATTAATAAATAATTTTACTTGTAAACAACTTTATTTCGAAAAATATCTTTTCTTTTTAAATTCGTAAAATAATTTTTTAAAAACTTATCTCATTTTTTTTAACTAGTAAATTATTTTTATTGATTAGCCAACTTTTTTCTAAACAAACACATAAAAATGCAAAAATTATTTTTCAAAAATCATTATTTACAAAATAAATAGAGACAAAAGATCAACAACATTTATTTTTATGGACAGTGCTCTCTTTAAGTAATATTCAATTTGCTTAAAAAGAAACCAATGATTTCGTTGACTCCAAAAAGCAACTGCACTTTCCCCTGTTTGGTGGAGGAATTACAAACTATACGCCATCCACTTTCATATGTATACATGTTGACTCTGTGTCTCCATTTGTCTCGTATAAATTGATTATCAAAAAATATTTTTTAAAAAATATTTACATTTTTTAAATTAAAAAAATATTATTTAAAGAAATTAATGAAAAATTTTTTTAATTGTTTGATTGTTTTTTGAAAATTTTTTTCAAATAATATTAATATAATTATTAAATTATTAAAAATTATTTATTATTAAAACATATTAAAATTATTACTATTAAAAAATAAGTATATTTTAATAATAATATTTAATTGTAAAATATTATGTTAATATAAAAATACTTAAAATAAAATATTTATTATTCTTTATATTATTTATTAATATATTATAATATTACTTATTAATAATATTTATTAATATATTATATTAATAGTATATTATTTATTAATAATATATTATTTATTCATATATCATTATAATATTTATTAATTAAATTAATAATATTATTTATTATATTATTCTAATATTTTATAATATAATATTTATTAATATAATATTATTTATGAATATATTATAATATTATTTATTAATATATTATATTAATAATATATTATTTATTCATATAATATTATTTATAAGTAAAATTATGTTCAAAAGTATTAATAAATAATTCTATTTATAATAGTTTTTTTAGAAAATATCTTTTTTTAATTCAGAAAATAACTTTTAGAAAAATAATTTTATTTTTTATTTTTTATTGATCAATAAATTATTTTCGATTAACAAATTAATTTTTAGTCAAATAAATATTTAAAAATATAAAAAAAATTTTTCATAAAACAAACGAGGAAATGTCCATCCCCACATTGATACGAGTTTTGTTTTGATTTGGTTTTTAGTTCATTTATTGAAAGTCTAACATTTTTTTTTATCCCCGCATTGAAAGTCTATAAACGGAGCCTAATGGTTTTTATCATTAGATCGAAAGTCTACATTTTTTTTTTTTTGGTGATCCGATCAACAAAAATTCCTTTGATTTTGGCAATGCTTAACGAGAATAAATCAACCTTCCTTGGCAGTAAGGCCGTCTACCGTTCAAAATATTGAGTCAGTCTGTTCACCTAAACAATAGGCTTGCTTGATCATTTATTGAGGATAACCCTAAATTATAGAATCCTAAATGATTAAACCCTAAATTTTAACACTAATTAATAACCATGAAAGAAAATTTTTAGTATTTATCTTCATTGTAATACAATTCACTTACAAAAATCAATATAACAAATACAGTTATTATACAAATAATTCACATCAGCTACTATACTTTTTTTTGGTACACAACTACTATAATTTCATTACAGCGCTGAAGTAAAGTCTCACTACTGTTATTTACTGCTGAGCAGCAACTCAGCAAGCTATTGTTAGTTTTTAAATTAGTTTTTTTTTTCATTATTAAATTATCATTGTCATCGTTAATCGGCACTAGTAGTATATTTTAAATTTATAATACCAATTCAGTGTAAATTATATAAAAATTAAGAGAAATCAACAAATTTATATAACCGACACGGGTAAACTAATTAGGTGAGTGTCGACTTTCAATGTCAGCGGAACTGAAAATTGGTTTTAGTTTTCCACTTAGACCCGCCTGTTCGGTTGTCCTCCATTTGTTATTTTCCTGTTCTCTTTTATTTTTCTTTTCAAAAATTAAAAAAAAAAAAAAAAAAGCCCGATTCCACCGCTCAAGTCATCGGGGAATGACACGCGTACAGTATTTTGTGAGACAACACGTGGCAGCTGAAACTTTTGAAAAACATTATAGCCGTCGGTGGCATACCAATACATGACTGAGAAGTACGTTAGAAAGAAATTGTTTTAAGGTTTTGCAACGTGATGTAAATCTAAAGTCCAAACTGGCAAAAAATAAATAAAATAAAATTTACTAGTCATTTCTAAGTTTCGTTTGATTAATATTTTATTATTTATTGATTTTTTTAATAAAAACAAATAACAAAAATAAAAAATCAATCAAACTAAACTTTATTCATTTTGTTGCCTCACATTCAATGTTTACATGTGATTTTTACGAGAAAAATAACTGTTTTAGTTTAAATTTTTATAATATAAAATTATAAATATTTAACAATTTTTTACACAAAAAGTAAAAAATTCATAGAATTATTACAAAATATATATAAATTAAGAATAATACTTTTTTAAAAAAACCTACTAGTATAAAATTAAAATATTTTTAAGAAGGAAACAGGCATTCAATTTAGGACAGAAATTACTAGTCTTCATGAATCACGTGCTTAATGATATTTTTCTTTTTAATATTTATCATAAATATATATTGAATCGTGCGCTTAATGACCCTTTTCCTTTTAAAATTTTATCATATAAATAAATATTTTTAAAAATTTATATTTGATGTAAATATTAATTAATATTAATTTTTAAAATATATATAATTAATATTTTAAAAAAAAATTATTTATTAATAAAATAACAACACCTAATACATTTTATTAATAAAACGACATAAGTGCATCGAATATCAGTTTATTGTTTAATTAAAAAATTTACTTTCTAGAATGATTCTGCACCCTGATACAGTCTCGAGAATTTTCAAAATGTGTTAAGACTACCTATATCGCTTTCTAGAGTTTTTCTCTTAATTCTTTCTACCCGAAAGACCACTTCAACTCAAAGGTATATGGTTTGTTTTATTTTCGATCATTTTAATGCCAATTCTTTTACATGGAATAAGCAATATAGATGGAGCCAGAAAGTTCATATACATACTAAACTACAAGATACTGATGCATGATGTATTTAATATACGTTCTGAGTTTGCTTTATTTTTTTTCTTAAACCTAAAAATCTGTACTAGACATAATTTTCCTTTTTAATTTCAGAGAAGATAATCAAATCCATAAAATTTTAAAAAATGTCGTTCCAATGAAAATTCATGAGTCAGTCCACCAAAAACTTGGTGCAAAAAAATACCCTCGACAACATGGCAGTCCGGAAGACTAATTTGGCGTTAATCTAGGGGCAGCCATAAATATCTGAATGATGGAAAGGGACTTGGCAACCTTCAAATAATCTTTGTTCTAAGTCTTTTATATCAAGAGCATAAATACAGTCATAATCTTCTACATTTTTCAACTATATATCAAAAAAGTATCACTATCGACAGTACTTCATTCTCACTTTCGCTCAGGGTTATCTTTTTTTCTAGCTATGGCGGTGGTATTTGTTCTGGAATCGTCAATCTGCCATAAAAAATTTGTGGTCTTTTAACTAATCTCGATACATAAAAAAGGGTTTCAGCAATTGTAATGAATCTTGACAATAAATCCAATACTGGCAATATGAGGTAAAGGTTTGTGAAGGCCGAATCTAGAGAAATCAGCAACACATGCTTAGTGAATAAGACAGCAAATTGACATGTTTTAAGACCTAGGAATAGGACTGGCAGACCAGTTTTGTTAGAAAACGTTTCCTCTAAAGCCATCGAAATTCTCACGCAAAGAAACAATAAATTCCCCAATTCATGTCTCAGTCTATCTAATCCATCCAGATCCACGCGTGACTGGTGTCAAACTTGGGAGGCACTTGGGAAGCCAAGAAGCAAACGACAGCAAAATAATGTTTTTCATTGACAGGATAGTAGCCGCAGACCACATTTTCCCATGTCACCTAGGGCAGACATTCAACGGAAAATAAGCAGGCACGAGGTAACTATTTAAGTCGTATTTAACCTACTTCAAACAGATGAAACACTAAATTTTGAACTGGTTTATTTTCGCTTACAAGCAAATTTTCTTCGCCTCGGTTCATCATTTCCATCTATTCAGGCTGCTGAAACCTAGCTTCCCACTGCATCAGAACACAGCAAAATTTGACTTGATTTATGCAGAACAAGGGTCTGTTTTAAGCTAGTTAATTCTTTACCCAATCAAACTATCAGAATTAACGCGCATGAAAAGACTACGGAAGAAAATTACATAAAGCTTTTAACCGGTCAGTCAATCGGCCAATAACAATTCATGAACTTAATTATCTTAAGGTTAAATGTTAGTAATGAATTAACTCAGTTGTATATACCAATGGAATCCTAGATACTATGTTATTTGATAACCTTCTTCACACGGCAGTTTGGTATAAATTATAACCATTCCGCCGCCTTATTAGATTCTAGAGTGCAGTGAACTCCATAATGTCAGTTAGCATATAATTGCTGTTCTTGTTGGTCATAAAAATTGAATAGGAGTCTTCAAAGACCTACCGTGGGCTGTGCCTTCAACTTTCAATCAGTAATGGGCCTTTCCAAAGAAGTGCTCTATTTGCAAGCATCCTTGAGACTGCAAACTATTTGCTTTGGCCACATATTTTAATCTCTTTGCACTAACTGAATTCTCCTTATCCTGCATCGATGGAAGAAATCACATGTCATGACAGTATGGAAAAAGATAAAGAACCATATTAACACGATACTTAGGATAAATGTACAATTTATCCAAATGATTCTGTTCTATCAAAACATTCTCTTTGCTATATCAAGATAAAATACTGACTATTACCAAAGATAAAATGTGATCATTAAGTTATATACAAGTAGATAGTATAAACTGATCTATGCTTTATACTGGCCAAAAATACTGGTAAATGGTCAACAGTTAAAACCAAAAATTTTCAACTAAATAGACTAAGAACTAGTTTATGAACCCACCAATGAAGATTGATTCACAGATCGCATAACTTTAATTCTACCACCTCTCCCATCAGCACCAACAGTAATTAAATCACCACTACTTTTAGTTGAACCTTGTGTGGGCATTGATCCAAGCATCTTGCCACGCTTGCACCATTTCCCTAAATGCCATTTTGTTCCATCAGGACCTAGCAATCCACCAGAGAAACAAATATTCCCTGGAAATATTCAAATGTTCCAAAAAACCGATATAAGAATTCCAAATAAAGATTCTGTTAAGAAAAGACAATGTGGCAAGCCGTTCCAAATTCAACATATAAGATCAATGCACTTGTTACACTTTCGCTTAATTAACACCCTAGCAACCTACTTATCTGACATAAAACGGTCACAATAATATAATACCTTGTTCAGAAAGTGGAAGTGAAAATGGAGTCTCTGTTTTAATGTTGAACATGGGCTTTGTGGCAGGAGCAAGATTAGCATTCTTATCATTACTTGAACAAGTTCTAGAACCATAAAATCCAATCAAGCTATCTGGCCTGCCAGCTCCGTTAACATCAGAAACTGCCTTTGACATTGATGTTGCAGGCTCTTGAACAATATTCTCACGGTGACATTTCAAATCTGGACTTGAACGTCTAAATGCATCCTCACCCATTAAAGGATTTATCACTTCATCAAGAACCACAGCACTTGAACGTCCTTCCCTACCATGATTTGTAACCATAGGACTACCAAAATGGATGTTTTCATTCGTTGAGCATGGTGAGTCTTTGGGTGATCCTCCACTTAAATCCAAGTTATTTGAAGTTAAAGTGGATTGTTGAATCTGATGTTCTTTTGATGAATTTTTGGCAATTAAAGAATTGGAATTATCATCTACCATCAGAATAACCCCTTTATCAGTCTTCTTTGAAGTTTTAAGAGCCCTCAAGATTTCATTATCTTTCACTTCAATAGATGTTTCCAGTTCCTGGATTCTTGTCTGATGAAACCACATAACAAAAGAACTTTTCAGCAATATTACAGCATTCATGGAACAAGATATTTATAATGCTTCATGGCAGACTCACTTTCAGTTTGTCTATCTTTGCTTTTGCTTTCTCAAGTTTCTTCTGCAAACGAGCTTCACCTCTACCATGAAGATTGCACTTGGCCATCAATTCTTTGTAACTCCTGTTGAAGTTTGAGTATTGCCAAAGATTAAAATGCACCAGTAAATACGGTAGATTGCAACCATCAATAATACTTGAAAAATGAAATGGAAAAGGCAATTACAACAAATTAACTTGTTATTAAAAAAGATTATGGCTCGAACATTATAACAAAGGCAGAACATCAGGATAAAAACAATACCACTATAAATATTTTTCATTTGTTTTATCCTGCGCATTCGGGATAGATATCATGAGAAAGATGAGCAGATATGCTATCCTAAATCCTATATTTTTGTTCTACAACTACTAGTCTTCTAGTCTACTACCATCCCATGATCAAATACATATTTGAGCATTTGAGATGGATAGGATATGATAATGTTATCCTCCACTATAAGGAGGAAAAATTATTGTCCAGGTCAGGAATGAATACATGGTCAACGGCAATAGCCAACAGAGCATCAACGATGAGCAGTATTAAACTTCCAAAATGCATTGATAAATCCTAAAATCAAGTTAACCCAGCAAAAATTAGCTGAGCTTGTAAAATTCATCAAATCCAGAACACACTTCTAGACCCAAACAATATTGCTTGAAAAATGTAAGCATATTCAAATGAACATAACCAACTTACTTTTTATGGCTGGCCAATGACCTAATCAGATTATCTATTGTATCTTGGCTGTTGGCTTCATTCCCCAGTGAGGCAAGCTTTAAAATCTCATCTTGCTCCAGGTCCAAATCTGACACCCTAGCGTAAACCATACAAACAAGTAAGTAACAGATATCATAAATTAGAACCCAGCAACAATACGAATACCACGCACTCACAACTTTAGTACGGCAAGTTCCTTCCCTAGTGCCATATTTCTTTGTTCCAGCCTTGAACATTCCAAATTCGATTTACTAAGCTCCTAGATTACAATTGCAGAAAAAAATAAAGAATATTATTCAAATTTCATTTAACCGAATTTGCAAAACAAAATAAATTCTCCAATGGAATACATGATAGTCACCTCAGATTTAGAATTGAGCTTTTGTTGAATGAATGCCTTTTCTCTTAAGGCCTCATTCTTCAATGTCATTTCTTTCTTTATCTGCTCCTTGCAAAGACAAAGCTAAAACTCCACAATACAAAGGATTTGAGAAATTGAAACTACAGAAATCGAAATTTTAAATTCAAATTCCATTTTAATTTATATTATAGTTTTTGTTTTTCTTAAGAACTAACAAGAAACAAAAATTACCTCCTCGTTGATCTCATTGTGTTCCTTCTCTTGACGCTCTAAGGTGGAACTAAGCCCCGATACTTTGACCAGCAACCTCTTCACTTCGACGCGTAATGATTCTGCATCTTCTTCGCGATCGATCAAGTTTTGGGAGCAAAGCGAAACGGATTGATCTCCAACTGATTGGAAATAAAGACGAGTCGCATTGTGCCCTGCACATTTCTGCTTGCATACAGGGCAGTTGTATTTCTTGGTAGAATTCGAACAGTACTCAAACCACTGCTGTAAACTATACGGTTCCAAAAGAAAAACGCTGTTAAAATATAAATTTGTTTGAATATTAATTAATAAATCGGTGTGTGAATACTGACCAGAGCTCGTGGAAGACGTGGCCACAAATGGAGATGGATTGCAGATCTTCGACAATTGGTTTGAGATCTTCGTAGCAGATGGAGCATATGGTTTTGGAAAAGGAGTTATCGCCTATCATTTCTTCGGTTTCTCTCTCAGTCTGCTTCGGTGCTCTAGTTTTTTCTAATTTTCTCTTCGTTTTATCGCCTCCTTTTTCAATTTTTCTTGGGAAAATGGAGCGGGATTTGAAAAAGGGATTACAAACGCGCCACTAAGGCGGGAAGAGGAGGGAAATGGTTTTTGGTTAATTGGTTGGCTTTAAAATTTGACTCAGCGCACGTGCGGCACGTGCAAGCTTTTTACCCTTATCTAAAAAAAATTTCGTAAAATCCAGAACGGTAAGTTGGTAATGATGAGCTGAAACGCAAAAGTTACCCCCAGTGATCTAAAATGTGTATGAATTTGATTCCATATTTTCCAAATACAAATCCCGATTCGTCCAATGCAACAATTAGAAGGAAATATTTTTGAAAAAAAAAACGAAAGATGAATTGAAGAAATTATATGGGTTTGGAAAGGCAACTACTTCGTTTCACAAAAAAGACGCCAATCGTTTTGTTTTCAAAATGAAAATTCAAAGGGGGAAATTGGAAAGGAAAACAAAACTTCCTTTTTTTCCCTTTTTAAGGAAGAAGAAAACGTCCCCTGGAATTGTTGGTTTCGGCTTCGTTTTTACGAAATCCACTCCTTCACCTTGGGCCTTCTCTTCTCTCCATTTATGTTATCTATGGCCATAGGGCTGTATTCGATAGCCGGTGAGGCCCAACTTCACCATCGCCGTACGTTTTGTTGACAGCTAATTTCTTTTTTTTTTTGTTACGTTTAGCTATGGCCATAGGGCTGTTTTCGATAGCCAGTGAGGCCCAACTTCACCATCGCCGTACGTTTTGTTGACAGCTTTTTTTTTTTTTTTGTTACGTTACGACGGTAAAGCTCTAATACAAGAAAGTGAGAAAGGGGAGACTTAACTCGAAATCAGGATTTGATATTTTTTTAAGTATCTTAAATCATTAAGTCAAAGACTTTGAGAGATTATCAGCTAATTTTTAAACCTCATTCAAAGCTCTGAATTTATAATATGATAAACGATATTTTGTTTGTATACTTTTATTATCCTTTAATTACAACTATTCATTTTCTTTTTTTAAGTAATTGTAATTTGAGAAGAAACTTTATAATCAATAAAAATAAAATTAACTTAAAATTTTTTAAATTTTGTTTAAAGCCAAATTAAGACACAAAATATGGGACAAAGTTACTTTAAACTTTTTATTTTAGGCCAAAATATGTAATAATTTAAGTTAATTATACATGTTATTATCATATAATCATATATATATATTGGTATGTTCATGCTAGTACAATCTATTCGATAAAGCTTGTAGCTATTTTTAATACTCTATTTAGAAAGAAAAAGTTTTAATCCAAATATTGAGTAATGTGGTTATGAATCTCAATTATTAAGTTACAAATTTTTTCATTTCTCTTTTTCTTTTATTCTTCCTACCACACCAAATAAAGCCTAAGTACAAGATAAATAAATTAGGTAATGCTAATCAGTTTCAGTGTTTTCAAAATGCAAAGATGTATCCATTCATTTTCTTCGTGAAAATCTGCGTTTTATTTTTCTGGTTCTCGTATCAAGATGAAGGCAATGATGACTTCGTTGAATATAACAATGAACTCATTGACCTTGTTAAATTTATTGAGTGCAATTTTTCATATGATATTGTCTGTGGACTTACAACACTACACACGAAATTAAAACTAGAATATCTGCCCTAATGATGGAGACCGCACAAATGAAGGCGAAACACAGTGAATATATACCACAGTTTCCCTTTCCTGACCCCAAGTTCGTGAATCACAAATGAAATGAAGAAAGTAGATTAAAAGCGTAGTTATAAGCTACTGAGTGTGACACCTGGGCAATTGGGCATTACTACCTTACTGTGGGTGGTGTGCCCCCTATATTCGTTAGTGTGGCACCTCCCCCTTCCACTATAAATTGTTTTCCTCCTTTCTTTTTCTCTCATGGATTTGATACAAACAAAAAGAGATTGATGGGAAAAAGGAAAAGCATGGTATGGCTTGGCTTGGCTAATCTCTTTGATAGTAGCCAAGGTGTCTATCAGATAATTCCAATTTCCTCGACCTCTCTAAGTGCTAAAATGTTGAAATTATTATAAATATACCCCACGTATTCGGCATGGTTGTGAAGCCTGTAGAGTTGTAGTCATCGATCATGTGCCATGCATCCCAAATCTTTTCAAGTCTCCATCGACCTATACTCCATATAGCCATCCAATCTTCAATCTAGTATAACTGAAAATATCTTTCAAAAGTCCTGTTACATTCCAATGCCTAACTAAGACTGAAACAAAAGACAGGCCTTTGTGGGAGTGTAAATGTTGACCAACTTACCAAAAAAAAAAGCTTAAAGGATCCTCCCTATAATCTTGGTCTAAGGAGCTGTCACATATGGAAGATCTCAACCAACCAAACCCAATCTTTAGCGAAAGATTTTATGCAATCACAAATCAATGGACATTGTACATTTTGAAAATTAAAATGTAATTAAAACAAAAAAAAAAAAAAGAAAGAAGAAAACTTAGGGTTTAGATCAAATAATTCATTTATTTTCGTACTCAGTAGATTTTTGTAAAATTAAAGTTCGATTTTCAGTATTTGTAATTTTTCTTTTTAAATCTCTTAAACTATGGATTTTTTAGTAGAAAAAATAGTTAAAAAGAAAGACAATTATAGTTTGAGAATTTTGCAAAGAGCAGGTCTTTTGGTGTAAAGACTGTAGGTATGGAGATGAAGAGTGGACCAATTCTAGAAATGCTTATATCTGCGTCATTATTATCATCACTACTTTGTGGAAACAAATGCAAAATGCAATTTCTTTTGCTTTGCTGCAATAGTATTAAGGATCCATCACTTTGATGGATTTGGCAGGCTCTCTTTAGGGAACCGCTCTTTCTTTCCTTTTCAACTAAAACCTAACAGGATCCAAGGAAGAAGAACAAAACGTTGGGAGCTGCTATACCATGAAAAAAGTTGATGAACAAAATAATAATGCTCATACCTTTGCTTTGCATTAAAGTTATCACTGACTTTTGTAAAAGCGTTTCCTCATCAGTCATCACTCTCTCCCCCAACCAAAAAAAAAAAAACAGAAAAAAAAAACTTAATTATATATATATATATATAAAAACACATGCAAGATTAATGTATGATAAGAGTAACATAATTAAATATTTCTTTTTTTAGATAAGCTAAAGATTTTATTTATCCAAAAAAAAGAAAAGGATTCTGCTACAAAGTACAAAGATAACAGATTACAACAAAAATAAATCAAACAACAATTCCTAATTCGAACCCCATTATTGACACAAAGAGATGTTTGTAGGATCACAAGAAATAGTATGTAAATCATAAAGCTTTCGCCCTCACAATGCCAGCTATACTCTTCAGAAGTGTTAGTTAATCTCCCTCCATGCATAATAAATGACTTCATTCTAAGTAAATTTGATAATTCATCTATTTATATCATATAAAATATTAAAATTTATATATATATATTATATTTTATATAAAAATTACGTATTATAATTTATATCAATAAAAAATATTAAATATAAAAATTGTATTTTATTAAATTTATATATAATTATTATTATAATTTAAAATTATATTATTTTTATATTTTATTTTTATATCATATTTTATATCAAATTATCGTATCATATTTTAAATTATTAAATCTAATTTCAAGTAATTCAAAGCACAACAGAAATTAAAGTCTTGCCTTTTAATTTTCCCTTAAATATTTCAATTTGAACCGAAAAAATTTATGTATTTTCATCAACAATCATAATTTTTCTTTATGATAGTTTAAGCCGTTAAAAATTAAATTCTGATTACTCATCAATTAAAAATTTTATATTTTACTAATATTGACATCGACCATCATTATTGATATTTAAACATTTTTTTAATTATAGAATTAGATATACTATAAAGAGCTGAACTTGATATTTATCGAAAAAAATGATAAATATTAATTAACGTAATTCAAACACTGATAAAAGTTTCTTGCATTTGCCACCATCACTTTCGCCTATATCTTTTGCAGCCATTTCATTCCTTTTCATTCATCAGTACTTCATCTTGTTTTGAAGCCCTTAATGTGCCAGACTTCTCCTGACCACTCACCACAGCAGACACGACAGTGGAGAAAATTATTATAGGTTCTCAGAGCATTTCTACGTGTTGAGATGATATGTATCGCCGTATTGACCCAACCCAAGAATTCCTCTTAAAAGAAATATATATATATATATATAGTACTCTATAAAAATATATCGTAACCCATCCATTTCAAATTGACAATCTGATGGGATAAGTATCAAATGGTCCAATAATTTAGTGGCAACAAAGATAAAAAAAGATCAAACAATATAGTAGTAATACCATTTTATATTAGCTGTCTCCAACACTGTGATTCAAGCTTTTGACTGGCTCGATGTCACATATAATCAAATATGAAGAGTTAAAAAAATCATTATTTAGTTATCATGCTATTATCTTGGAGATGAGGTGATTTGGAAATGCTTTTCTTTTAATTTTTGAGTTCTAATTCTCAATAACAGTAATAATTAAATCAATGTTGTAACTTTAGAGATTATAATTTATTAACTAGAGTTATATATTATAAGATTTTTTAAAATTTTTGTACTAATTATTATTATTATTATAAATATACGTATGTTAGCTTAAAAGAGGGTTATAATGCAATCTCAGTCTAATTAATTAAAGTTAGGTATAAAAAGAAAATAAAATTCAACATTTGTCGTGATGTGAGTCTCATAAGTCGTAACTATTGACTCTTAGCCATAAATCCAAATCCTTGTCCTTTTTATCTACTAAATAAATATTATTGTATGTTACGCTTGGAATTTCAAACAGTTTCTTTATCATGCATAAAGTAATAAGTTGAGTAAAGTCAATGTAACAAAAAGTTTTATCATAGGACTTTGACACTTGAAATTGGATTCAAAATTAAGGTGTAATTGAATAAAACTTTTGATGAATTGTTTGTAAATATATTTATTTTATGTTTATTTATTAAATTTAATAAATGATATTAAATATTATTTATATGTTTATTTATTAAATGAAACGAATGTGAATAATTATTTATTTGTTTACTTACGTTTATGAATAAGTTCGTTTAAAATTTATTTTTTTATTATTCGTTTGTTAATAATTTATAATAATACTAATAAAATTATTTTTTATTTTTTATTTTAATCTTATTTTTAAGTTTATTTATATTTATTTGGATTTATTTATGTTTGTTTAAGATTTATTTGTTTAAATTTATTTGATTATAATTTATTTATTGTTCATGAATTGTTTATATATATATATATATGTTTTTATGAACATGTTCGTTTAATATTCACAAACGAATTCATTTAACTTAATTGATCGAACATGAATCAAACATGAATAATTTATTATTTTAAACGAATGAATATGAACAAATAAAATAAAATTTTTAACGAATACGAATCAAATATGAATATTTTTAAAAATAAATGAACAAATACAAATATACGTTAATTCATTCATGTTTGATTTATTTATAACTTTATTCAAAATCAATAATAAAAAATCAAATTTCAAACACATATATACTCAAATAGATTATAAATAATTTAAATACTTTATCAAGTCAGCAAGTTATTTAAATACTTGAATTCACCCTTTCTAGATCACTCAACAATTAACGAATAGATTTAAATTAACTTAAATGCTGATTTCAATTAGTTTCAACCCTATGCTAATAAAAACTAACTAGGAAGAAAGGAAAGAAAGAAAAGCGTCTCAGTGAGGAAGAGTAATTATCAAAGGTAAAAACTTCCTAGAAGTGGCTGCTATTGCTACGAGGATTGCGGTCTGTTCCTCTTGTTCGAGTTGCCACTTTCCAAATCGACCCCACACGCTTGCAATTCAATGCCCTCGTGCCATCCACGTCGCTCTATTAAAATAACACCATTTTATCTCCAAACATTCAATTAATGCCGCGTAACTGTTCATTTAAGGTCAAAACCACTGATAGAAATAAAAGAACAAGACAAAGAAAAGGGTTTTAGCATAAAATCACTGATTCATAACCTAATTGGAATAATCTTCGGCCGTCGATCTCCCATCATAGGATTCTGTCAAAACAAGCAAAGAAAGTAGTTACGATTGATCACGAGCCACTCGATGCCGGTTGTAACGTAAAAAAAGAAAAAGAAAACAAGGGGCCACAAAATCTCCGAGCTCTTATTTGCCAACTCACCTTATCTCCTTGCAACCCCACGCGCTAGCCGGATTTCGTGTGTGAAATGAACAGCTACTCTCAACCGTCGATCTAGAAGACTGGTTAACTCGCAATCGACGCAAAGTGCTAAAACTCGCTACTTTCCAACGAACACGTGGCTAACGAGAAGTTGTCGTTCCGTGTCTTTTGCGTTTTTGCTAAGTCCAGTGGGAATCTACCGACGGCAAAGGAATAATGGGGTGGCGAAAGCAAAAACTTTTTTCCTTTGTAAGAAAAAAAGTCAAAAACCAATGGCGATACTCTGCACGTGTCAGTCACGGGAGACGCAGAGGTTGTCCCGCGTGCAGCGTGCCACTGTCGAAGGGAAGGTACAACACAAAAAATGATTTTCGGGAAGCCCCCAAAAACAAAATCCACCAATATGCACTGCCGCTATTATTTATTGATTGTACCCTTAATAGTTTACAAATTTTCGGTATTTATGGAAGTAGAGATTCAATGTATGCTAATTAAATACGGTCATCATTTTCTTTTTGAAAATTATAATCTCCCTCATTTATATATAACATTTTTTAATTATTGTTTAAGACCGTCCCAAGAAAACGAAAATCATGAAAGACTCCTTCAATAATTATCCAAGTAAAATTTAAACAGATAATAAATTATTTATATAAGATATAATAATTTAATATAATTTCATACTTAATATATTTATATTCAGAATTATTTACATCAAACTCTGATTTCATAATCAAATATTAAAAATATAAAAAAATGATGATTAAAGACAAAAACAAAAATAATTATTTATGTTTATATTTTGACGTACAAATCAAAACATACAATATCAAAATTAAAGTAATAAAAAATGAATAGTTTAAATTTATCTTAATAGTGTATAAATTTTCATATTTATAAGTAAAAAATAAATGATTATTAGAGAATAACAAATATAATATCGAGCTAATATGACACTAAATATGTCATATTGACCTGATATTTTAAGTCAACACAAATAATAAAATTATTCTTAATTGTCAAGTCGAAAAAAATGATAAAATTATCTCTAATTATATGTTGAAGGCTTTTAACATGAAAAAAAAATCATTATACTATTTTGATCACTAAATATTCCTAACAACAATGAAAAAATAATTAATTAAAATTTACAAACATATCAATATTAATACTCAATCCAATTCAAACATACATAAATTAATATCAATCCAAACTAACAATCATCACCACCAAATACATTCTCATTATCCTTTTTATAAAAGCAATCCCAAATCAAATATCTAATACTGCTATACACTTTCATTATCCATTAGTCATATGGAATATATACACTAAATATTTAAAAATACATAGATAAATATTCTTAATCTCATCATATGTTTATTATTTAAAATCTTACAATCTTTTAAAATTTTTCTTATATCTCATTTTATAATGATTCATTATTTATACAATCTACTAATTTTATCACCAAAAAATTCCAAAATTATTGCGTTTCAAATTTATTTTCTATAAAATAATATTTAACTAACTTTGAACAAAATTTAATTTAATATCATATTAAATCAATAAATCCTTTCATATTTTAGTCAATATCTTCGACTCTATAACTATATATATATTTAGTATAAATAGTCAAGTAACAATCGAGAATTCTTCATTTTTTTTTTTTATTCCATCTCTCAATTTTTGAATAATAATCTTAATTATAATCAAATAAATAGCAAGATCAAGTATGGACTAGTAGGATTTAGGAACCTCCCTTTTCTTATCTTCTAATAAACATGGTAGCAAACAATCACTTGTTTAACTGGTTAACCAGGTATGACATTCAATCTCAAATTTTATATATACGTACTATTAAGTTGGATTCGGTCGGGCATTAATGCACATTAAGGTTTTGTCTTTGTCAAATTTTAAAAATAAAATTTCAAATGTCTTATCATATAAAAATACATTCTTAAAAGCCGTTCAAAGAAAAATAAAAATATCCTAAATCATATTATTGAAAAATATATTTAAAATTTTGTTATCAAACTAGCTAAGTGTGAACAAGAAATATCCATGCATCATATGAAACAAAAGGAAGGCTAGAACCTGAAGCCAAAAAGAAGGAAGAAGAGGAGGCGAGAAACACTCCATGAGGTGTGCGAGTGTGGGTTAAGCTGTAAGCCCCGACGACACACCAACGATAGGAGTCGGAGTGTAGGACCCACCCTGTATATTGATGGGAGCACCCAAATTAACTGGCCTCTATTTTTTTTTATTTTAATTTATCTTTTTGTTTCGTTCTGCATCTTTCTTTCTCTTTTGTCGGTAATTCACGAGCCACCATCCTCCACTCGGAAATACGAAAAAGAAAGAAAGATAGAGAAGAGAAGACAGCCGTGTGGACTTTTTCACCATTAATTAAAATCCTCTTTGACAATGCTCCCAAGTCAACTCCAAAACCAGAAGCGGTTTTCAATGTCGGAAGCTAACTGTAAATCAAAAAATTAGAGAGACAAAAGTGACAATATAAGGCTTTGATATGCCCAATTTTGCCAACCCAAAATGCCACCGCTCGCTCTCTCTCTCTCTCTCTCTATGTGTATATAATTGCAAAACCCCACTCTAATACAACCCCCTACATTTTCTTATTTTTCTTTTTCTCTTTAAAACCATTGCAAAGTCAGCGCCTTGTTTTTTTTTCTTCTCTCTAACAGTTTCTTGCCAGAGAAGTCAGCTGTAGATTCAGAAGAGGTTTTTTTTTAGTTTTGCCCGAGGATAGAGAGAAAAAGATTCAAGACTCATGGATGTTGATTGGGATTTGCATGCAGTGGTGAGAGGCTGCTCCAATGTTACAACAACTGGCAGCGGTGGTGTTGCAACCAGTTCTATCACGGCGGATTTGTACCCTCAGTCTTTTTTTTCTTCGTTTGGTAGTCAAGAAGCTTTTCAGGGTCAAGTTATGTCTTTTCCAAATCAGTTTGAAGCTCGAAATGCTACGGAAGAATTACATGAACTTTACAAGCCTTTCTTCCCCAAATCTCAACCTCTTTCCGCCCAGAGCACGCCTCTATCTTCACTTTCTTCTCTTGGCTTGTCCAAAGATCAAGCACAGATAAAAGAACAACAGCAACGGCCTAAGCCATCTCACGCTGTCTCTGTTACAACAGCTGGTAGCAATTCTGCAACTGCCAATTCTCATAATTCTCGATCTAAAAGAAGGTAAATTTGAGTATGACATGTATTTAAAAGTACATATTTTCAAAGATCCATCTCACAAAATTGTCTCTTTTATCGATTTTATTAAAATTTTTTACTTTCCCTTTTATCAGAAAGAACCAACTAAAAAGGGTTTGCCAAGTACCAGCAGAAGGTCTTTCTTCAGACGTGTGGGCATGGAGAAAATATGGTCAGAAACCCATCAAAGGCTCCCCTTATCCAAGGTAAACTCCTTTAGAAAAAAAAAAAGGAGGAGAAAATCATGTGTATTTGTCTCTTTGCATGTTGGATTATAATAAGTTTGGATTTTGCTTGGATATTCGATTACAGCTTTTGGTTGTTTGTTTCTTTGAAAAACAGGGGCTATTACAGATGTAGCAGCTCAAAGGGATGTTTGGCCCGCAAACAAGTGGAACGAAACAGATCCGACCCGGCTATGTTCATAGTCACATACACAGCTGAACACAACCACCTTGCTCCAACTCACCGAAATTCACTTGCTGGCAGCACCCGCCAGAAGCCTTTAACTGCACAAACAGTCACCGCTGGTGACTCCACCAAAACCTCTTCAGCTAAACCTGCCAACAGTTCATCTCCAGCTACCTCCGTAGAGGAAGAGCTTGTAGCTCTAAATACAAAGGTGGAGAGCAGAGAGGATTTGGCTGAAGATGAAGGGGAAGATGATTTTGGGATGTCAGACACGGCGGTGAGTGATGATTTCTTCGAGGGTTTAGAAGGACTCGCTGACATGATCACCGGAGATTGCTTTTCTGATCGTTTTCCGGCAAGTTTTGACCTTCCTTGGATTGCTAACAATGCAGCTACTGCCGCCGGTGGCATCTAAAAGTCGCCTGGGAATATTTCTTTCTTGGCTTTCTATGTTTTCTTTTTATTCTTGTATATGTCATATACTGTAAAAGGTAGAGGGAAATGACTTATACCCTTTTGGTAGAATCTAAGCCAACAATGCTTTTGTTTGGTACCTTTTAGGATTCCATTAACGCGTCTTGTAGAGGAAAAAAAGAGTTTGTTTCCTGTTTCTGGTCTGGGGTAAAGTTAGTTACAGAGCTAGGAGAGTTGTAGTTTCAGACACCCCTTTATTGTTCGTAGAATTTCTTTTCCTAGTCTTGTCGGATACAATTAAAATGGAATCGGTCATTGATATATCAGGACGACAGGATCATGACCATCTTTGTTTACCTTTCTTGTTTGGTTCTTGATTTTTAGTTTGATGCTCTTTGTATTTAATTGTATTGACTTAAAGGAAATTTGATGCTAATGAGTGGGGATATATGGGCAACAGCATTTGGTATATGCCTACCTGCCTGCCTGCCGTCAGATTATTATGGCAAAGGTGTTTGGTTTGATGTGCCCTTTGGTTTCTCAGTGATAAATAAATTGCAACATTTATGAAACATAGAGAGAAACTACTTGTACATGATTTATTAAGGTTTTTCAAATGGAATAGTGAATCGGAAAGGGTTTTGCAGCTGAATAATACACGGTGATGATTGCTAATTCGGGCAATCATATTAATAGTCCGGAAAAAGGAGAATGAGAAACCAGTGAGATGCCAAAAACAGGATTGTGTTCAAAGTTTGGCTTCCTGATCTCATCTGATCCAGCTTCTCTTTTATGTAAATCATAATTCGTAGTGTCACTACTCACTAGGGAACTATTGTGCATAGCAAACAGTTTAATAGGTGAAATTCTGACAAGCCAGTTATAAATGAACTATTAAGAAATCAATTTTCAATGCTACACGGCATAATGTAAAATTAAGAACATCCACTTGCCACATACAATGTAAGCCTCACTGTTTGGTTGTTCCAGAGTTGGTGGAATCCGCCGGTGAAACAATGACAGATAATTGCAGGCTCAAGCGGCTAATTCAACTACAAGTTCAGGTGAAGCGCTGCTGCCTGCCATTATAGCGTGAACAAAAATCTGTAGGCTGCAAAAACAGAGCCATTTTTCTGATTTCTTCCGAGCTCTGACAATGGCCAAATCATCAAATCAAGCCACAAAAAAAAAAAAAAAAATCCAATAACACAATCCTCATCTTGCAGCCATTCTATGCAGTTGAGGTAGAAACCTTGCATCCTCGTACGAAGCTTTTTAATTTTTTTGATTCACCAACAGCAGAAAGCCATTCAGTGAGAATCTCCATGGTTATATAGTCTGGATTGCAAGCATGCTCAATCATACTGTCCATCAATATAAAGGCATCTTCTAACAAATTCTTCTCCTTAAGACCTTTAAACATTGCATTGAATGTGTTGGTATTGGGCTTCACTCCCTTTGCTTCCATATCATTCATCAGAGAGAGTGCGAAGTTGACATCGTTATTCTTGCACAGAGATTCTATGAGAATGTTGTATATTATGGTGTTTGGTGAAACCTTTGATACGGAACTCATGTCTTTGAAAAGCTTCTTGGCTTCCTCAAATTTTCCATTTATGCAGTATGCATGTATAAGAGCTCCATATGTGGCAATAGTAGGGACAAGACCTGCCTCAATCATCTGTTTCATCATCCTACAAGCAACTGCAAAATCCCCAGCTTTGCAAAAATAAGCAATCAAAGTGTTATACGTAACACCATCAGGCTCCATTCCTGCTTCCTCCATTTCCTTGATGATTTCATAAGCTTTATCTACCTTCTTCTTCTTGCAGAACCCACTAACAAGAGAATTGTAGCATACAATGTCAGGGCGGAACCCGGCTTCTTTCAGCTTTGACAAAACATTGCTGGCATCATCCATCCTTCCAGCTTTGCAAAATCCAGAGATCAAGCTATAGTAAACAACGGCATCTGCAAAGCATCCGCTTGTCAACATTTGATCAAACAGATCAACAGCTTTACCCATATTGTCAACATCACAGAAAGCAGTAATTAGTGTAGTATAAGTAACCGCATTGCCCTTTAGTCCTTTCCCCCGCATATCACTGAAGAACTGAAGTGCACTACTGATCCTCCCGTGTCTGCACATACCATCCACCAATACATTAAGAGATATCACATTAGGTGAAACCCCCTCTTCATTCATCTGATCAAACAACTGCTTTCCTCTCTCAATCTCTCCAGCTTTACAAAACCCATCAATCAAGCAATTATAAGTAACTGTGTTTGGTGCCAAACCCTTCATGGACTTCATCCGCTCCATCAACTGCAACCCTTCTTCTTGCCTCCCCACTTTACAAAGTCCATCGATTAAAGTATTATAAATAATAACATCAGCTTCAACTGTAACACCATCACTCCCGCTTCCTTCACCCAACTTGTTTAACACCTTCATCGCCTCATCAACCCTCCGTAACTTACATAACTGATTAATAAGAATCCCAAAAGTTACAACATCGGGCTGAATACCACTCTCCTTCATCTCAGCCATAACGGTATTCATTCTTTTAACATCTCCACTCCTCCCTAACCCGGTCAAAATTGCATTGAAAGGAGGAGTTTCAAGAGGCGCTCTCAGTCTCAGCAGTTCATGCAAAACATTCCAAGCTTGATTGGATTTCCCACTCCTACATAATCCAGAAATCAATTGGGTCAGCCAATTTGTCTTTGGAAAAACACTATGTTTCCCAAATTGTAAAACCAACTTAATCAAATCTTCCTCGCTTAAGTTCCTCCCTTTCCTGCCTCTCTTGACCAACGCGTTAAAAACAATATCCCCAGTAATTTCATTCGGCGGAACCTCGGATATCGGTTGAAGCATTTCATCAAGCACATTCATCGCGTAGTCAAAACGACTATCTCTTAATAAAACATCGATCAAAACGTTGCGAACGTGCGTGTTTCTAAGAGAAGGGACGAGTTCGTTAAAAACAAGAACAGATTTGTCAACCATTTCGAGTCTCCCGAAGTAGCGAATAAGAAACGCGGCGGCCTTGACAGTTAGAGGAACTCCCCATTCTTTCGAAGCTTGATGTAGTTCAGATAACCGGGATGCTGCATCGGGTTCTCGACCCGTTTGTTCGAGAAGGGCTTGGAATGAATAAGAGAGGAACTGGGTGTCTTGAGATGACAAGTTTTGTTGAAGGTGTTTGAAGAAATTGAGGGCGTGAAAAGAGGAAGGAAGGCTGCGAGTAATTTTGAAGAGAAAGAGAGGAGATGGAGGAGGAGAAGAAAAGAGGAGAGATTGTAAAGGTTGAGAAGAGGACCATTCTTGGTGTGGCGTTTCGACGAGGAGTTGAATTGCTTGGGCGACTTTTGATTCCTTGTCTTGCAGTCGCAGTGGAGGTGGTTGGGGGTTTGGTTCGGTGCAGAGGTGACGGTAGAGGAGACAGGATGCCGGTAGGGGTTTAAGGAGGCGGCGGAGTTTGGAGTGCTTTGATACGGGAAGTGCAGTGTTCATCCTTTTTGTGGGAAGTTACGTTGACGCTGGAAACTTCGACTATTTGACAGAAAAATAACGTTGGGTTGTTTCTCCCTATTTGATGATGAAAACTAAAGGCAACCCTACCAGGCTATGGTCTTTGTTAAGGGGCTTTCTTGGGCTTCTTCTGGGCTTTGTTTGAACCTGCATTTTCTTGAGAGTGCTCTGGCAAGGATGAAGCCTCATTAGGGCTGTAATTCTCTTTTCTGCTGTAATGTTTACACGATACGGCCGAAGATTGAACGTCTACATGGATGCCACTATCAGGTTTTCCATTAAAATGCAAATAAGAATTATAATCTGATTATTATTCCATCCAAGAGCAATTAAGTTCATACAAAAGCCATTTCTCAACCATGAAAAAAATGGGGCAAGAAGGATTAACTACGATAATTAAATGTCAAGCGGTATGAACTATGAAGAGCTTGTTAAAAGAAAATGCATTGCCAAAAAGAATGGCATTATTTGGTTCTTAATAAATTTGATTAAGGTAAAAGCCGAAGAAGTCTGGCCGTATTTTAGTCACTATGGGAATTCTTGGCGTCTAGTCATTGCTCTGTGTTCATCTTCTCAGCTGCCTCAGTTGCCGCAGATGCTGCCTGGTGCAAACCCAATTTCTCTAACTCCTCAAAGAAACCATTTACATCATCAGCATTCATTTTGTATGGGCTGTGGGAAGGACCTGGGAATGAACCATTTGTTACTGCTTCCTTGTACTCCAAAAGAGCTTTATTAATGACATCTCCTACACGAGCATAGTGCTTACAAAACTTTGGAGTAACCTGCGGAAGGTAAAACAACCTTTTTTTTTGACAAAAGTTTTGATACAGGAGGAAAGAATATGCAAGGCAAAGGGGCAAATGTGAGCTTAACCTTCGCATGATGCGGGTGTTGCAGCATTCCCAGTAGATCATGGTAAACTAGCACCTGTATCAACAGTGCAATTATAATAACTGCATGTATTCATGCATGAAACAAAAATGACAACCATTTCTTTCTTGAAGTAATAAAAGAAGATCAAGAGGTAGGGAACACGACCATTCAACTTCATGACAGAAAACCATACCTTTTTAGCCTCTTCAAAGCAAATATCATAATGTCATAGTGCAAACGCAGAGCAATATGGTTGAAAGAGTTGATAAAGGATTAAGATGAACTAAAAGCATTACTAATGTTCTACCACTAGAGCAGTAGAACCATTTTAATAGAAACTTGTAAAGAAGCTAGAAAGCAACATGCATGAAGCCACATTTTTGAGCTTTTGCATCGAACGTAAGCTTTTCTCTACAATATTTATGAGAGAATTTGTGTTTTTAAAAACCTGCTATTGCATAAAGTCTAAGCTTTTCTGGATGACATAACCATCCAAATACTTTAGTTGAAACAGTTAAACAAAACTCCCGATATGAGTAAAACTCTGTTTTCAATGCTAAATAAGTTGGTTATATGTCACCAGCCCTGAATGGAGATGCTGATCAGGAACATGTTCTCTTCTGCTTATTTTAATATAAAGAAGAGACCACCTATGGAATCAGATAACAGTTATGCAATAAAACTAGTCATCGTTAACTCTCTGAATTCCCCAAAACTAAAATGCAATCTGTAGCTCTTCTTTTCTAATGAAATTTTTACAGAATAGGCAACCTACTATATGTTCTAAGCTTGATTGAACTACAATTCTTCTCTTTTTCTTATTCATATTGACAGGCAGTTATAAAAGCAGAAATGCATGTAATAAGTATGTAAACTTAAATATTTACCAAGACCTGCTTGTCATAATAAAGATACAAACAATCCTACAATTTATTATGATAGCAAAAAGAAATTGGTTAGTTTATGATGTAAACACAGAATTCCATACCAAAGGCAGGTACATAATTAAGGCAAGGTGGGCACATAGATTTTAAAGAGAGAATAATAGTCCAAAATTAACCTGTCCACTGCAAAAAGGACCAGCTCCAATGCCAATTGTGGGAATTTGAAGAGCAGATGTGGCCGCAGCAGCCACAGGTGCTGGCAAACATTCCAAAACAACCGAGAAGCAGCCAGCTTCCTGCAAAGCCATTGCAGTCTCTACAACCTGCAAAAACCAAACCAAATCAACATGCTCAGAAAACAAACATATGCACATATTCACAGGTAATGTAAACAAGACTAGGAAAGAGACCTTGATGGCACTAGAAATATTTTTGCCTTGTGGCCTGAATCCCCCAAGTACACTAATTGCCTGAGGAGTAAGTCCCACATGTCCTATAACGGCGATTCCAGCTTCAACAATAGCTTTTGCAGCAGTGATTCTCGCAGGGGATCCTCCTTCCAATTTGATAGCATCCATCCCTCCTTCCTTTAAGAACCTAGCCGCCGTATCAACTGCCTGCTCATAATCCAAACTGCAATAATATCAAACATCACCAACTATCTTACACTTACCCCAAAAGCCAACTTCCAACAACACCGTTTGCTCCATCAGATTATCATAACATAAAAAAACAAATGGTCCTAAAAATGTAAGCACAAAAAAAGGAAAATTCATTCAAACAACGCTGCTTCATCGATTCCAAACAATACAATGTGAGAAAAAAGGGCAATTTCTTGTTGATGGGGGTACCTGAACGGTGTTGGTCTCATAGGTCCCAAAAGGCAAGTCACCAACGAGAAGCGGCCGATCGGCGCCGCGAGCAACAGCCCGGCAATGAACGAGCATTTCCTCGAGTGAGATAGGGAGGGTAGTGTCATGGCCGTGAACGACCATGGAAGCAGAGTCTCCGACGAGGCAGATATCGATGCCAGCGGTGTCGAGGTGGACTGCTGATGGATAGTCATAGGCTGTTACGACGGTGATGGGCTCACCCCTTCTGTATTTTTGCTTCAACTGGTTAAGGGTCACTCTCTGGTTGGAGGTTTGAGGCTTTGGGCCGCCATAGACGGTATTCTCCGGAAGGTTGCTCATGCAGCGACTTAGGCAGGCTCTGGCGAGTGAAGAAGCCTTGGACAGCTTGGTTAAAAATGCCATTTTGGAGGTTTTGAGAGAGTGAGAGAAAGAAGCTTTTAACGTTTTCGTGTTGGAATGAGAGTGAGAATTGTTTATTTATGGTAGTTGTTGGAGATTTGGTAAGTGTAGAGTGTCAAAATCAGTGAGGCAAAAAAAAGGTTGAGGCGGTGTTTTATGGCAGCGCCACAGGCACCAACTTGGAATGAGAAGATTATTTTACTTGATTTCGAACCGCCTTTGCCCCCATTTTGTTTATTTAATCCCCACGCTCTTATTGGCCCATCACCAATCACCGCCCTCTCCATCTTCACTTTCTCTTTTTTTTTTTTTTTTTTTAAAAAAAAACTCAAATAATTGTAAGGAAATATTTGCACTTTTTTTTTTTTTTACTTAACTGGATTATCAAATTTTGGAAAAGGTCCAAATAAAGGCGTAGGGGGTGACACAAGTAACCGGCAAAAAGCAATCCTAATTTTAATTTTAAAGTTAGTAGTACTTGTGACTAGGTTAGATTTGTCCAACTATCAAGTTTTGAATAAAATTTTTTAAATTTGAGTTTGATTTAAATTATTATTTAATTAATATAAAATTATTAAAATGTATTTAAAATATTAAAATATAAATATTTTAAAAATTACCTCTCAAATGAGCCTTAAATAAAGATATTAAAATATCAATATTAAAGATATGGTACCTGTAGCAGCTGCTGTATATTACGAGGATATGTATGTTAATTTCAGCATTGAGCTTGTATCTACATCTTGAAATTCGATTGTGTGGTTTGTTTGGATAAATAATCATATCTTTGGATGTGATTTATGAGCTAATCTTAAGTTCAAATTTAGTTGCAAAACAAGTAAATGTGTTCTATTTCTTTGAGACTATTGTATTGGTAAGGGGAGCTTGTTTAGTTCACCTAAGTTTGTATATTTGGGAAATTGAAGTTCAAATTCTACTGAATGCATTCGATCGGTTAAAAGTTTTCGGCAAAAGCCGAAAGTCTTCCTTTCATTGTTGTTCACCTAAGTTACAATTTACTTCTGACTTTGTTTTATATATAGAGGAAATTATTGAGATTTAAATTTTGTTCAAACTTTGAATAAATTTTGAAAACAAAATAGTCAAAATAAAGAGAAAATGAACTTCCATTAGCAATTATAAAAATTGAAAACCTTAAATTTGTATACTTATTTATTTTATCCCAAAAAAGTTGGAAATTTTTTTTTTGTTAAACCTGTAATTTTTGGGTGCAGAGTGCAAAATTTGCACATGCTACAAAATAAAGAAAAAAAAGAATTTCTAAATACAATTTCATTTTTTTATCTACACACTAATCTTTTTTATAAAACTATTTTAGATAAAATTATTTATTTATTTTTTATCTTAATTTTAAAATTTTTGGATTTCAATAAATTATATAATTTATCAAAATTTCATATTTAATAAATTAAAAATATATATTTAATTTTGAAAAAGAATTAGCAGAAAATATTTTGCAAAAATTTTTCAACTTATTTAAAAAGGTGGAAAGAAAAAAAAAATCAAATTTAAAAATGAAAAGGTGTAAAGAAAAAGAAAAAATAAAATAATTTCATTTAAAAAGAAAAATAAAACAACCACTCGATAGGAAATGACTCAAGGTCAGCCAAAACGAAAATATCGAAAGAAAATAAAAACCCTCGCGTCACAACTCTTTTACTAACAGGTGCAACACTCATTTCTTCTTTCTCACTGTGGCTCTGCAACATAATCTTAGGGTTTAAGCAGGGTTTCTCATCTACTGAATTTCAACTTCCTCTTCTCATACGTGCGTATATATCTATGTATGCGGTCTTCAAACCTTTTTCCCATCCCTCTAAAATGCTTATTCTTTTCAGGTCGAGAATGCATAGATCGTTAACCTCGCTGGTTCGGCCACTCGCGGGAGCGCGTGGGTTTTCCACGAGCTCTGAGAAAATCGTTGCCTCTGTTCTATTCGAGAGATTACCAGTCGTTATCCCCAAAATTGATCCTGTGGTTTATGCATTTCAGGAGTTCTCGTAAGTTTTCCTTCTCTTCTCTTTGCTTGGCTGCGGAGAAAATGTGGGAAAAGTTCCTGCTAGGGTATCTTAGATTTCCATTTCCTTTGAAAGCAAATTGATTAGCTCAGTTTTGCTAGAGAGGCACTAATTTCAAACACGGATGGTAAAAGAAAAGAAAAAGCTGAAATATTTACTGAAGACAGCCTGATCCGTGGCTTATTACTCGAAATTGTTTTTCTTTTTTGTTCAATTTTTCAGCCACTAACTGGGGTTTTAATGAAAGAGATAAAAGGCTTCGTATTTATGCACGTAATTGGTTTTGTTTTATGCAGCTTCCGATGGGGGCAGCAGTATCGACGCAGATATCCTGATGAATTTTTGGACATGTCTAAATCTAGGTAAGTATGTTTTATTTGAGCCTATATTCTTATGGAATTTGCTTCAGTTGTATTACATATTATGGTTTAGGACCTTTGTGATCCATATGTAAGCGGTTACTCGATAATAGTTCTTGATTTGATGCACCTGCATAAACTGATAAATAAGTAGATTAAAAAACTGGAAAGCAATTGGTTTATCAAAATGAATTGCGTGTCACATGGGATTTACAGTTATTAATTCTATGAAGGGGTGATTCAGGAAAGATTATGTGGAGTATTTTAGACCTAGTTTTTCCGATCTGATTATAAGAGCATCCTCAAGGTTGATTCAAGATGTCTATTTTTGGCTCTGCTATGAAAGTTTTCATGGAACATAAAAGTAATTAAAGTCAATTTTCATCGGGTTATATATGTTATGCTCTTTCTCCTTTCATTGCACCGTTGATGAATACATGCATACAACTGCAAATTTGCACATGCAGACAAAGTGCAGAGTGCAACATAGGTGGTTTTTTGTTCTCTGCTAATGAAGTGAAAAATTGGTACAAACAGGGGAAAAGGTGACTACCAAATTGAGTACAATCCAGCTCCAAGGATCACTGAAGCTGACAAAACGAATGACAGAAAGTAAGTGGTAGATTTAATATTGTTCATTGGAACATTGTTACGTGCTTATCATTTTGTTTGATAGAGACCAGGTATATCTGCGTGTTACAAATTTGAGAACAAATTTCTGTTCTAACTATTAAAACTGCTTCCTTTTGGAGGTTTTGGTCTTGTGGGGATAGAGGATGAAATTAGTAAATTCAAGCCATTATTAGGACAATATTCTGATCATGAAAATTGTGAACTTTCAATTTATTAAGGTCATTACAGAGAGCACTTGATCGAAGATTGTATCTTCTTCTATATGGTAACGCTCATGGTGCTCTTAGTGGGAAACCTGTGTGGCATTTTCCAGAAAAAGTTTATGATACGGAGGAGACATTGCGCAAGGTAATGGTTGTTTTCTCTTCTTATTTCCTTCTTCATTTAGTTTTGTTACTCTGATATAAATAAAAAATGTTTGCAGTGTGCAGAGTCTGCCTTAGAATTTGTAATTGGAGACCTTTCTCACACTTACTTCGTTGGAAATGCTCCCATGGGTCATATAGTTATACAGCAGTCAGAGAATGTGCCTGAACCATTTAAGGTATTTTAACCGAAAAGGTGTTAACATGTTGATACAGTGCTGTCATTGCTAGCCCTTTTAATCACTACCTATCTCGTATTGATAACATGCATGCACTTCACTGGAGCTCCTTTTACTATATTTATTTCCCCACCTTATGCTTGTGCTTCTGTCAGCGATTCTTCTTCAAGTCTCAAGTGATTGACACCAACATGTTTAATATTGGGAAGTGCAAGGATTTCGTTTGGGTGACCAAGGATGAATTATTGGAGTATTTTCCTGAACAAGCCGAATTTCTTAAGAAGATGATCATCAGCTAATGGCAAATTGCTTAGTTTGATCTCCAAGCTATACCATCTTTCTTATAACCCATTCTGTGGTTTAATTGTAATTTTGCAGTAGAGCCTACATCAGAATTTAAAGCCAACATAAGACAACAGAACATCTGAACATGAGTCATTGGTTCAGGATTGATTGAATATTCTAATTTTTTTTAATTTTCTTTTGTTGGTGACAATTGATGCATGAATTTGGTTTTTCTGATCATACCCCTTCCCTTTTATTATTTTTCCTCTCCTCTGCTGCAATAATGGTTGCATCTAATTTGTATTTCTACCCCTGTTATGATAGCCTACACAAGTAACTTTAGGTTTTTATTCTGCGATGATTGGCTGAACAAATCCTTTCTCGACCTTCTTGATGTTGATGACTAGATCCTATATTGTTTCCTTTAACTAGAGTGTAGAGAATACGGTATTTTGACCAGCAGACATGGTCTGGGAAAGAACCAATCTAGGAAGTCTGGCGGGTGGCCTAACAGGACTTCCCTCCGCAGCCAAGGGCTTACTGACTCGAATATAATGAGGATCTTGGGCCTAATTAATTAAACTCGTTGACTTCGGCTCTCAAAGAAGCCCAGTTAACGGATAAATATGGAAATACAATTGCTTTTTTTTTTTTGGCTCCTTATATAGGCAATTTTGTTCGTGTATCCACAACAATATTTTTGTTCTTCTGTAGCGCCAAAAAAGTCATTGCCGAACGATGACAAACAGAATTTCAAAAGACTGACCAAAACCATGGTTTCTTTAAAATGTAGAGCAATCAAGTGACCTTGCATTTATGATTTGTGGGTCTTCCTTTCATTTTTAGAATTTGAATGATATCATTGTTTCGACTAAAAATCATGGGATGTATTTTTTCCCTTGTGAACTTTACACGCATAAAATGAAAAAGAACGATTTGTTCCTGCATTCGGTTGGTGAGCTGTGCAATATTGGAACAAACAAAATTTTTTTTTTCTCTTTTCTTGGGTTAAACTTAAATGGAACAAAGAATTAACATTTGCAGCGCTTAATTTAAACATGTGTCCAAAATAAATAATCATTTTAAGCTGGGATGGAAAAAGAAAAAGAAATTAATAGTAGAGTATCGCATATATATGCATGCTTTGGTGATAACGTCGATGCATGTTGGACACGTCTCCTCTTACTTGAGGGCAGGGGCAGTTGAACAGAAGTAGGTGAGATGCTGTTGGCTTCACCAAGGGTGCAAGAGAAAGGAATTAAAGACCCTTAGTCCCTTCCCCTCTCTCAAACTCCATACTAATTCCTTCTTTTCTCTCTTGGATATCTCTTGTGGGGGCAGTCCAACCTCTTACACCTTCCACTACTTTCTTCTCCCTTTTAAACTTCATTACTCAATCATTCTCTGTTCCTCTCTCTCTGTCTCTCCATTTTCTCTCACTGGAGCCTCAGAAGTGAGAACCTTCATCATCAGATATGGATGGCCAAGAAAGTACCCCACCACCACTCCCACCGCCATTTGCGCCGCCCTTATTGTCACCCCTTAACGCTCCTTTCCTCTTTGCACCCTCACTTCCATCCTCCTCACTACACCCTCCTTTAGAAACTCAAATTCTCCCCGATATTGATTGGGTTAGCCTCCTCTCAGGTCAAGGTATGCTCGGTGAGAATAAGCCAATGATTGAAAGTGCTTCTAATTTGATGGCTCAAAATGGAGGCGATCAGGATGAGAAAGGCAACAAGGATAAGAGGAAAGGTAGTAGGATAAAAAAGACAAGCCGACCTAGGTTTGCATTCCAAACCAGGAGTGCTGATGATATTTTGGACGATGGCTACAGGTGGAGAAAGTATGGACAAAAAGCTGTGAAGAATAGCATTTATCCGAGGTTTGTTAATCATTAAAATCCCTGCTGTTTCTCTAACTATCATACGTTGCATGGCATGTTCGTTCATAACTCTATATTCTTAACTTTTGATGCATACATAGTTTTTTACGTAATTAAGTTTGCATAGAATAAGCAGTAGTTATTAATGCAATTCCCTCAAGCATAACTAAGATTATTAGCATGCATATATTTGTATTTTTTTTTATATATATTTAAAATTATCAAAATTTGATCACTAATCATTAAAATTAAGAGTCTAATACTTTATAAAAAAAAAACCTCGTATTAGTCTTAATAATCAATATTCAAATCATGAAATCTCAAATAAAAAGTTCATCCTCTTAATACAAGAAAACTGATCATATATTTTAATTCCAAAGCTGTTTTAGATTCTTGTCTATGCTCTTTTTCGACCCTTGATCACTATAGAAAACTATTTTATTGTATACTATGTTAGAAATTTACTTAAATGATTCTCCTTTTTTACTTTTTTTTTTTTTAAACAACTTAAGGAGCTATTACCGGTGCACGCATCACACATGCAATGTGAAGAAACAGGTTCAGAGGCTCTCAAAGGACACCAGCATCGTCGTGACTACATATGAAGGAATTCACAACCATCCATGTGAAAAGCTAATGGAAACCCTAACTCCTCTTCTCAAGCAAATGCAATTCCTTTCTAGGTTTTAAGCTCATCCAGCTAATTACTGCAAATTAATAGTTTCAAGGACAAATCAAGAAGCCCTCTGTTCTTGGCATGAATATATATTTTATACTTTCCTTTTCCCATTTTTATGAGAAAGAAAAATCTGGAGTGCAAATATCATAAATAAACTCATCTTCTTGTTTTATGCATCTTCTCACTCTAATGTTCTTTAATCTTGTTTGATATTCAAATTGTCCAATCAACAACCTACACGCACTCTAAAAACATTCCTAGAGTTCGGATAATAAAAATCTTTATGAAATTAAGGTATGAACCTTTTCCTAACTTAAAATATTTGAGTAAAAAGCATGTAAAAATAAAATAAAATATGTTTGGAGAACATGTAGTGAAATTTATATATATATATATATATATATATATTTTTATCTCAGTGTGCATTTTGGTTGTATTATTATAAACGATAAGGCTTTTTATTTTGTTGATTATTTTTTAAATCAATTAATATATCATTAAAATTAACATTTAAAGATTACGAATTCAAAAGATTTTATATACATAATGTCTTCTCCAATGAAATAAGTGATAAGATAAGAAAATGTTTAAAAATAGATTAAAAAATTAAAATTTTTTTTTATTTTACTTAACACATTTTCTTTTCGAAGAAATTTAAGCAAATTTATCTGCGTAATACAAATTTACAAAAAATTACTTTTTTTATAACTTACTAGCAGATTTAAACCCATACAATAAAAAAATAATACACCCTTTTGCCCCTTGAATCAATCATCATTAATAAAGATACATATTTTTTTGTGTGATATATATATATATATAAATATTTATTTTTATTATTCATCAAGAATCATTCATAAAAAAAGCATGAAAAATAGGAAAAAGGATTGGAATTTTTAAAACGCCACATTCCCACATGAATCGCACAAAATTAAAGAGGTGTCCAGACTCTAGTGGGGGAGAAAAAGAAGAAGCCCGAATTTGAGACAATGGCAGGGTAAAATTTTACTTTCAAATAAAAGAATTTGCATTATTCTCTTTGCCACTTGCAACAATTTGTCGAGTTTCTTTCAATTGTAAGTGATTTGTGAGTCCAGCAACTATCAATGGAGGTAATTAGTTTCTATTTCGTTTCTGATTTTTGGTTGCCTAATTAATACTTTCCTTTGCATTCTTTTCCTGATTGATAAACGAATTCTTTAAAGAAAATATATAGAAACGCCAACTTATATCCAAAATGGCATCGACTTAACCAATAATCTCACCTTGAAACATCAAAATTGCGTCATTGGAAAAGGAAATTAGAACTTAATTACAAGTGGGAAATTATAATTGATAATTCAAACCATCAAAATAAATTGCATTCGTTTGCATATTTTTCTTTTTTTATGAAGCATTTGTGATATTTTTTATTGAACATAAAAATTTTTTTAGTTTGATCGGTATATCCTTTTTGTGATCTATCTAAATAAATTTATTTATGTTGAATTTAGTAAATTTGTGAAAAAAAATATTTACGACATTTTTTTATGATTGATAAGTCCATACAATAGGATTATATTAGGCGTGAAATTCTGCATTACCTACTCTCGAAAATGTATTAAATTTGGAGAATTTCTCTTATCGGGATTTGTACTTTTGAAAAACTTGAAACGAGGAAAGAACATTTTGAAATGGAATTCTTCAGTTAACTCAATTTCCTATACATATAAAGAAAACTTGCAAAAAGAATAAAGGCAACAATCGAACCCAAGGTCAAAAAGCACAGATCTCCTTCCACGGAAAAACCACGATCTCTACACGTCTATTCAAAATGTGTTGACCCACCAAGCAAAATCTCAATTACACGTCATGAACCCAGATGACCCCCTATAAAAGAACAAACCTTGGGACGCTCCTCAGATCACATCCTAAGTCATCGAACCCTTGAACAATACCCTAAAAATCTAAAACTCTTGAGTTTTCACGGAATGTCGCAGTTGGTGGACAAGGCGAAGAACTTTGTGGCAGAGAAGATAGCCAACATGAAGAAGCCAGAGGCTAGCCTTACGGACGTTGATCTGAAACATGTGAGCCGTGAGGGCATCGAATATGGAGCTAAAGTCTCTTGCAGCAATCCATATAGTCATTCTATCCCCATTTGTGAGATCTCTTATACTTTCAAAAGTGCTGGCAGGTTTGATCCACTTTCCTTCTCTCAACATCGATTTTCTATTTTTCACTTTCTTTATCCCTTTTTGTTTTGTAAAGATTTGATTTTGGATTTCGTTATGTGAACTCACCCGGCCTTGTGATCAAGGCATTGATTTGAAGTTGCACCATTGGATGCTAATATACGAACTTATTTCCCTTCAACACTTTTTATTATAAAGATAATGGGATCAAGCTAGTGTTTGATAAATTTTGGTTGAACTTAGATCGATCTATTCATTCTGATTTGTGTTCTTAATCCTTTTATGGTTGGAGTTTGAAATGGGAAAAGAAAAGGACAACAAATTATGTATATGGAGAATGGCAGGATGCATATATGCACTCATTTATCAGCAAGAATAAGATCCCTTTCTTATGGCTTTTCTCCCCCCCCCCCCACCTTTTTTTTTTTTTTGGAATAATGGCCTGTTGGAGCTAGGGTGAATTAAATGGTGGACATCAAAGGCAATAATCAATTGTAGAATAAGATATTGTGCTTTCAAAGAATCTTTCTTGTGAATATGCTTAGATTACAAATAATATTCCAGTAAATGAACCGTCTAAGACTTTGGAAAAAAAATCATGTGGCATTTGTTTTAGTTATTGATTATTTGTGTTTGGGGTAGGGTGATTGCATCTGGGACAATACCAGACCCGGGGTCATTGAAGGCCAGCGACACGACGATGCTGGACGTGCCAGTGAAGGTGCCACATAACATATTGATAAGCTTGGTAAGGGACATTGGTGCAGATTGGGACATTGACTATGAATTGGAGTTGGGACTCACCATTGATCTTCCTCTCATTGGTGACATCACTATCCCTCTCTCTCAGAAAGGAGAGATCAAGCTTCCCACTCTCAGAGACATCTTTTGAATTAATTATTTCTCTCTTATGATTTCTAAGCAACTTGAAGGATATGTCAAAATACTGTGCTTTTGAATATCTTTTGTCTTCTACAACAGATCAAAGTTAATTCCCAAATTTACTTTTTTTTTAAAGAAGCAGAATAGTTTGCTTTATGTATTAGTTTTCAGTTTCATTTTATCAGAGAGTATAATTTACTTTCCGCTGCATTTAATTAAATCCAAGTCTATCCGTGCACTCTTTGGATTGTACATGGCCAATGTATGGGCTCCCCGTCTCAGATGGGACAATGTGATCATTTCCCTCACCCGAAGTAGAACTGTTGTAGCGTCATTAATGAAATGACCATAACTTTGCCAGCCTTGTCCAAGACGGGTCCTCCGAAACTTACATTAACAATCTTTGGCAAAAGTTAATTATGCCGGTGAGTGGTTTTAAAGCTATTGCTGGTAATGGAATGATGGCAATATTAATTTTCTATCAACCAAGAAGTTCTAGGTTTAGAGTTATTTGGAAGAATGTTAATAAAAACTACTGTTGGCTGTCCTTTCCAGATGATATTTGTAGTGCTTCAAACAACTGATCGCTATCAATGGATGTTTCCATTAGTTCACATACTAAGGTGCTTTACTTGCTACTATTTGAGGTGGCTGCTGGACATTGGTTTGTCCCTAGTAGGTTTATTTTTTTTTTTTCCGAACATGAACTCTTTCTTAAAAGAAATGCGGAAACAGGATAAACTTGTCTTCTCTTCTTATATAAATAAGAAAACTCCTATGTTAAAATGTCAGATGTAGCTCAGATGGTAGAGCGCTCGCTTAGAATGAGAGAGGTACGGGGATCGATACCCCGCATTTCCACGTTTCTTTTCGGTGCAGTTTGACTCGAGGTTCTCAAGCGTGTTCCAGAGTCCAGACTTCTAGTATCCTTGGCTTTAACATTTTTTAATTATTTTTCTTCTAAAATCTATAATGAAATTTGACAAATCGCCAAGCATGTTAAGTGCTGATGGAGACAAACAATTTGTCCCTTCTTCTCAGGGCCAGATGCCGGGGAAAAGAAGGGAAGAGGATAAAAACAAAGTTCCCCTTATTTCTCTGCTTTTAATATTTTTATAGTGCTCGACCTTTCCCGGACAATGACAGTCACAGGAATCGGAAAAAATAACAGCATTAATTGGTGAAATTTAAAGTGTGAAGGCTCAAAAGTCAAAAGCAACACTTACAACAACTCTAATTTCTTTCAAGTCTTGATGGAAATTTCGTGACCCTCTCATGTCTTACAGTAATTCCAACTGCCTCTTAAATTTCCCACCAAAGGAACAAAAAAAGAAAAAAGATCATCATTGTTCATAGCATTCTAGGATCAAACATATGGACGCCAAGGATCAATCAAACCTTGAGAAGAACGATGAAGAATTGGAGATTAATTTATCACCGAAGGCGTTTCCAAAGCAAGGACGAGCCAAATGCTGCGGCATTTTAATTGCAGGTATTTTGCTTCATGTAGTAGTCTTTGGTGTGCTTGTACTTACTGTGTTTCAATTCAAAGACCTTGATATTAAGTTGCATTCGGTGACTATTAAGAATATTAGCTTGGTTCCTGGCGTACCAGCAAGCATCAATTTGACACTGAGGGAAGAACTTGTGGTAAGAAATCAAAATTGGGGTGAATTCAAATACGATCAGAGTGCTGTCATTTTGTCTTATGAAGGTGCAATAATTGGAAAAGAAGAGGTTTCAGGTGGGCGTATTAACACGAGGCAGAAGGGTTGGTTCGGGGTTGATATTGAGGGTAAGTTTGAAGGGTTGGGGACTCATAGAAGTTTGGTTTCTGATATGGATTTAGGGCTTTTGGCTGTGCATAGCTATATCAGGTTGAGTGGAGAAGTAAATATGATGAAGATGATCAAGAAACGAAGAAGTGGAGAGGTGAACTGCAGATTGATGCTTAATTTAACTAGGAAGGCAATTTCAGACATCTATTGCCGCTGACATGTCGTGGCAAGCAACGAATCTAACTCAAGTTAGTTTCATAAAAAGGCTAAGGTCTCTGTATTGAATTATGTCAGTTATATACTGTTTGTTATATATACAATAATTATACTAAAAGCTTAGGGTAGAGTGCCAGAAGATGTATGGCTATTTAATTATCCTCTTATGGTGGAAAATGTTCTAAAATATGAAATGAGATTAACAAATCCCTCATGGCTAGCTTATAAGTAACAGTCCTTGATGGTTTGTGTGTACTGTTATAAGCTATTTTCTCAAAGAAGAATGTGATTTGGAACAAAGCCATAAAATGTTTAACTTGAAGTTGTCATACATTATCAGATGCAGCAGTTTTTGGTACAGTGATATTTGAACATTTTCAGTTTTTCACCTTAATTATTCTCTTACAAGTATCTCTCCGAACAATCAACAAGGCCTACATGTGTATGCCTAAATGGGTCTGGGAAATGGTTCTAATTACAGTACATAGCAGAATGGGCACGAATAAGGTCGAACAAGTTGGTGGAATCTGACTGTTAGCTCAGAGAAGTTAAACAATCTGAAGAATAATATGCCTTTATTCCCTGACCAAATCCCTGTCCAGGTAGTGGACCCTAGTCATTTTCACGTGATTGCCAAGCTGCTTCAACGTTTTCTCTTACCCTGCAGCTAATTACATATTCAGTATATATAAATAATTTGTTGTCAATTTTTGGAAAAGCTTCCTTGCTTTTCACTGGTTGCTTCCTCTAAATTACAACCATTTCCTATTGGCATCTCTTTCCGGTGACCAACGCCATTAATGGTATTCTGAACAAATGAAAATTCATTTTCAAAGAACTAAAGCAGGGATCAGCCTGCCAAATAGAGAAACGTCTTCTTACAATAGAACCACAATTTTTTTTCCCAAATAAATGGAAAGAAAGAAATAAGAAGAGCTGGCATTTGGCATTTGCAGTTTGCAAACTTGTTAATTGTTATGGCTGCTAAAGAGAATGGTGAATTTCTACTAAGATCTTTCAATGAACGAAAGAGAGATATCGGTGTAGAAATAGCTATCCGGAAGTGCGACGAGTTTTATCAACAACAGAAAATTGCATTTTACGGGAGTATTGCTGCAATGCTGGTCTCAATACTTGTATTTTTTTTTTTTTTGTTATCCTGTTAACCAGAAAATCAAGTGGTGTTCGAAGAATTTGCTGTTTTTTCTGATGAATTGTTCTTCTCTGAAATGGGGTCTCGCTATTTTTGTCAGTGTTCTTTTTTAGTTGACTAAATTAGCTTTTACGGTTATGCCTTAGCTTGTGTTGTATTAGCTTTCTTTTGAATGCTTAGCTTGAATCAAACTGCTGCATATGATCATTTTTTGGTGCAGTATCAGTCACATGCATGATGACACCAGCAAATTTCTTGATTGGTTAACCTCTTCCACCATATAATTTTGATTTTTTTTAATCTAACATGTAAATAAGAAAAATCTGGTCCAACTTTTTAACTAAAACGGACCCCGCTGGGGTTTGGGCTTTGGGGGTCGGTGGACTCCACTCGGGCCCCACTTTTCAAACTTGGTCCACAAAATTAAAGGGCAAAAAAAGATTATCCTTGCATTTCGTCAGGCAACAGCAAAGATTTATGGCCTAACCCGGCCAACGTTGTGCAGTCGTGTCTACTTGGCTGTTTGGTTGAAAGTCAAAGAGAGTAGAATTTTTTGCTTGTAAATTTATTTCTCTCCATATATTGTTAATTTAGATAAATTTTCATCTAGAAGCTTGATTAGGAATATTGCGCGGTGACTAAATGGTTAGGATTTGGCCAAGTCAAAATCAACATTCTCAAAGGCGGCTTCCATGTTCTCCTATTACAAATTATACCTAAATTCCATCGTGAAAATTACCAGCCTGCAAATTACAATCATTACAAAATCATTAATTCCTGGAAATTCACTAATCTTATTACTCCAGCAATTTTTTAAGCTTTTATTAAAATTTTTATTTTAATTTATTAAAATTTAAACTTTAATCATTAAATTAAAAATCTAATATTTCTACCAACACCCAACAAGCAATTTTTACTGATATTTGTTAAGGAAATTTATATGGTCAATTTGGGTTGCTAAATGTCGAATATATATCACATTTGAAACTACCCTATCAAATTGATTGCTAGGTTAATTCACTTAGGAAATGACAAGGAAAAATGGTTAGTGGTTGCCACTATGACGCTGATGTTGATCAATTTGTCAAAGCCCGGAATTATGTTTGTTGAATTCCAAACTTGATTCAGGCGTTTGTCTTATCAAGGTAGGCCACACTAACATTTAATCTTGCCATTGCTGAAAACAACTACATAATTAAAATTAAAAACGTTTTTGCCAAAAGCAATATTAAATGTTGACTAGCTATAGTATTATTGACGTATTACAGACAATGTGAGAATTCATTTAATCTAGTGGCAGGAAATAGCAAATAATAGACAAAGGAGAGAACCATTTTCTTAAAGTGAATCAATTCATTTGTAAATTAATTGTGACTAAAAGTAAAGAGGAAACCATTTTAATATCAACTGTGCAATGCAAGTATAAAAAATGAGCTCCGAGTCAACATAGAGCAGCTTGAAATCTTGGGTATGATCATAAACAAAAAAAATCTAACCAAATGATGTCAATTGAAACAAACAAAAGTCCACCACTTACATTTCCACTCGCATTACTAAAAGATTATAAAACCACAAATGATATCCCTCCAAAAATCTCCTAAACCACCTTCCCCTACCAATCACCCTATCCTTTCCTTTCGCAACCTGTAGCAATGGTGGAAAGGGACCAGGTAAGGCCTCTGGCGCCTGCTTCGGTCCTTCCAAGCAGTGACGGTGGAGAGGCAGCTTTGCACCTGAAAACAGTTCGTCGCAAGAAATGCATCAAATGTTGCGGTATCATTGCAGCTCTAATGATCATCCAAGCTGTGGTGATCATAATTTTAATTTTCACGGTGTTTCGGGTCAAGGATCCGGTCATCAAAATGAACGGTGTTATAGTTACAAAACTGGAGCTAATCAATGGTACAACTCCTAAGCCGGGGTCCAACATCTCCTTAATAGCCGATGTTTCTGTCAAAAATCCTAACGTCGCATCATTCAAGTATAGGAACACCACCACAACTCTTTACTACTATGGAACAGTAGTTGGCGATGCCCGAGGTCCTGCAGGCCGTGCAAAGGCTCGTCGGACCATGCGGATGAATATTACTGTTGATATTATCACGGATCGGCTATTGGCCAGTCCAAATTTGGTTGCGGATGTGAGCTCCGGGACATTGACTATGAGCAGCTACTCAAGAATTGGAGGAAGGGTGAATATGTTCAACATTATAAAGAGGTATGTTACAGTAAAGATGAATTGCTCCATGACGGTTAACATCTCCAGCCAGGCAATTCAAGAACAGAAGTGCAAGCGAAAGGTTGATCTCTAGACTCTAGGCTATGTTTGGTTATGTATATATAAAACATTATACTATATAGTTACGCAAACATGAGGTATGATTATAATTTTTCTTGTTAGAAGACAGATTAATAATTTAGTATTGAAGAATCGATGTAATTTAACATGAAATCTTTTTGAATTTGGTATAATCGCTTTATATTTTCCTCATAAAATCATTTCTTTTTGTTCTTGACACAAAATTAATCAATTCGACATTAAATGCACGTTTTTAGCAGAAAGTAGGCCTTGAATTATATGGAACCGGTTTATATTTTTGTCTTGATTGTAATTTCGGACGCCAGAGAACAGAACAGAGCAGAGCAGCATTGGACTGCAAGTGCAGTGGTTACTTTGTCAAGTTATGATGATAAATTTTACTTCTAAACAATGGCCCCGTCTCTTGTAGGTTGGTTTCATAGGAAAATATATAAAGGCCAATGGGGACCGCCATTGGTACTTCCTCCAAATGCCTTAAATTCTAACCAAACTTAGTAAAAAAAAATTTGTCGGATCTGTATTGTTTCAATCTTTTTTGCTTTGATTCCTTGAATAATTGAATAGCTCTTAATAATTTGACCTAGCGTAGCCATAGGCCAGAGCGCATTCAAATGAATTTCATTGAAAACAAAAGACGAAGGGAGAGGGGACAATTTTTTTTTTAAAAGGAGAAGTGATAAGTAGCTTTCTTGAACAAAGAACTTACTATTACTATTATTTTCTGGCCCAAGGTTGCCATCATGGGTTTAATAGTTATTTTCAATAATGCATCGGATGGTGGCGAAGACTATAGAGTTCCTGGATTCGAGTGAATTTTAACTGAATTATAATAGTATTATTATCAGTAGTATGAAAAGGTGACATTAAAGTATTTGGGACTACAAGAAAAGTGGGAGCAAGAGCTTTGCTTTAGCCTTTAAAGAAGCATCAGACTGCAATCTTGCTGTGGTCCGGCTCCATCAGGTTTTTAATTTGTTGTGCTTTTTTCATACAACCAAACCCAATTTTGGGAGTAAAGTGGTGCAATATTATTTTCTTTTCTTACCAATTAATTGTGATTAAACTCTCTTTCGGTGGGTCAAAATCTAGTATTAGCATTCCCTCACTTCGAAGAAAGAAAAGAATTTACCAGCTTTGACCCAAATACACTGAATGCAATCTATTTAAGTGGTGCCTCTGTTTTTGAGGTCTTACTAATGTAACTTTAAAGTTAATAGTTAGAGAACAGCTGGTGCTGCCATTGTTGCAAGTGCGATGGGCGACAAGTCCAGCCAATATAGTCAGAGCATTAGATGTTAGTGCTTTGTGAATAAATGCATAGAGGAAACCTATCAATGGTAGATAACTCGCGTGGAAGAAGAAATCGCTAGTATTGATCAGTCATCTACAATTTTTTTTGAAGACAAGGATATATGAAGAACTTTCCACCTTTGATTTTATTCGTATGAGCAATCTTTCCACTAAAAGAATCAAGACAGAGTGTGTAAAATGCGGAAGAAAAAAAGTATCAGGTTCACACCGAAAAGTTAAAGAATATTGTCGAAAAAACAAGAAAAACTATATATGCCAAAATAGTATGAAGTTGACTAAAGAGGGATGGAGCAAGAAATTAGGAAAGCATTTACTAGCAAGAGTCACAAATTGTTTTTGGATTGTTTGTCATGACAATTTTGTGTAATTTGCAAATAGAAAGCATGAGCTTTCTCTATTGTTGTTGCCTTTAGCAACTGTAATTTTATATCAAGAAAGAACAAAGTTGAGTATCTTTCGGGAATTGGGACCAATCCAGGTGAGCTGCAAGTTGCTCGCATCCAATTCTAGGAAATTTCATTGCATTCACTATTTTTTGTTTTTTTGGGGTACATGTATCACGTTTCAGAAGTAAACATAAATCCCCACTTTCCAAAATGTTTTTGATTGTTATAGTATTGGCTTTGGTCTCTTGAAATACTTTTCAGATTGAAATTTCAACCCACTTTTCCTTTTGTTGAAGTCCAAAGAAAAGAACAGGGAAAACGCTGTCTTTTGATTTCAAAAGCAAGAAAAACTCCAATTTTCATAATATAAAAAATTAATATTATAAAAATTAATTAATTTTCATAAATATTTGATAGGGTATTTGTGAAATCTTCTGAAAACATCATTATGTAAAACCCTAATTCCAAGATGAAGAAGCCAGACATAAGCCCAAAAGCAAAACTCCACTTTATTTTTCACACAAAAAGAAATTGAAATCACAAAACAGGAGGGAAGTGGAGATGAAATGAGGAAGCAAAGCAAAAGTCACCAACACCACAATAAATGCCACCCCGCTGTTTCCAAACTGAGTATTAAATGCTGCAGCTGGAGCATCATCTACCCACCTTCGCTTCATTGAACTTTCCTTTCTCTTTCCCTTTCCATTCACCCCATCAAATGGATCCTCCTCTTCCCCTCCAATGTCCACCTCTCCCCCTTCTGCCCCTAACTATCTCACCAACTTAGGCCTCGGCTATTCCATCGCCATCGCCCTCGGTTTCCTCGTCCTCCTCTCCACCATCCTCCTCGCTTCCTACATCTGCTGCCGCTCTTCCTCTTCCCCTCTTGCCTTCTCTCCCAACCCCATCTCAACTACTGGCCCCGACTCCGATGGGATCATCCTCCCCAGGATTATTTTCGTTGCTGAAGATGAAGACAATGAAAACGTCGTCGTAGGGCTTGACCAGGCCGTTATAAATTCTTACCCTAAGTTCCAGTTTAGTAAAGAGGCGGCTGCCGCGGGTTCTAGTAACGTGAACACAACATGTTCGATTTGTTTGTGTGAGTATAGGGATTTGGAGATGTTAAGGATGATGCCTGAGTGTAGGCATTATTTCCATGTTTCTTGTATTGATGCTTGGTTGAAACTTAATGGGTCTTGTCCCATTTGTCGGAACTCGCCACTTCCAACTCCACTTTCTACGCCTTTGTCAGAACTCGTGCCTCTGTCTCAGTACGCTGCGGACCGAGGAAGGAGGTGACTTTTTGGGTTGTTTTTTTTTCTTTTAAATATCTTAGTTTTGGTGGATGATTTCTTTCTCTCCTTTTTTAGGGTGTGTTGGATTGTTTGAAGGGGGAAATTTGTATATTTTTTTCTTTTGTTTTGTTGGTGGTTAGGTAGAGAACAGGGTGATTTGGTAGTGGAGTTTTTTTTGCTCAATGGACTGTGATTTTTGTTGTTTTAGGGGGGAAAAAAGAGTATTAGATGCTTGGTGCTGAGCACAAATTGAGTGATAAAAAGTGATTCACATCAATTGGGAGTCTTTTTTTAGTCAAGGAATTTGTTTCTTCAACTTATTTGTGAAATGCATAATTTGCACCAATTTTTGTTCTGTATTGTTTATTTTATTGAGACATTGACTGCCGTTTTTCCAGTCCCCCTATCTAATTGTTTCAAATTCTTATCAAACAGTTGACAAGGATTAATGGATTGAAAATTTCAGGTCATTTTCCCATTTATTGTAAATTAAGGTACAGAAATAGATTAAACTTGACTGGATACTACTTTTACTGGCTTATTGCACCGGTTCATATTCAACTTTTTTTACCTTTTTCATGTACTTTAATATTCATCAAGCTCTCAGCTCGGTAAGCTTCAGTTGCTTTGCAGAACTCTGTTCTGTCTTAGTTCTCAATTGTCAGCTAAGTCTCCTCCGGGAGTTTAATCGGCCTAAATTTTTTATTTTATTTGAAGATAAAGCTGCCTGTCCGGAAGGCAGAGACCCGGCAAAGGAACAAAGAGAACTTCAGTTTAGCACTGGGTTCTGAACTTCTGCCGATCGATCTAGCCAATTTGTGTAAAGAAATGTATGCTTTTGTTGGTGACAACGTGTGCGTTGACCCCCATAATAGGAAGGAAGATTTCCAAAGCTCTCTCAAATCTCAATGACCTTAAATTAACCTAGTCACTGAAGTTAGCCCTACTTGTTTTTGACATTTTTGGTCACTGTTATCTCGTGACGAGAAAGAATTTTTTATTAATGGAGTTTGCTTCAAACTGTTTTGCTTAACCCTTTGGGCAAAAGATTACTAATTTTTCAAGCAAGCGGAGGACTTTAATTGGTTGATTTTTGGTTCTATTTGGATTTTAACACTTACATAAAATCGTTTGCAATGCTTTGTTCAAACTTGGTACCCTCGTCCTTACGATTCAAATTCATCTTTTCATAAAGATAACTTAAATTGTAAGAGATTTGTCTGAACTTGGAGATTGATGCTTTGTAACGCGGGATTGGCATGTTAGGACAGGTTGATCTAGAATCTCGGTAGTGTTCACTCGCAATTACAGTACTGTACAATGCCTGTCCGGAAGCTCAAAGCTCAATGAAAATTTAAAAGTAGGAGCATCAGCCATGTGCCCCAAGCTCAAAATCTTCCGATCCCCTTTTCTTCAACTCTTTTTTTTTATTAAAATATATGTGACCTTGGTCAAATTCACCTTCATTTTCAAGTTTCAGGAAATTTCTATATTTGATTAATTTGTTACTCATCTTCCAACAGAGTAATTTCTTGTATAGTAAGCATTTTCTGATTTCTTGCTGGGACGACTCACTAGGTCCCTTTTATTTGTTAGATTGAACTGCGATTGGAGATGATACTTCTCAGTCTTAATGAGATAAAGATGCCAAAACTAAATAGCATGGGGAAGTTGGGAACATGGAAGAGTGTTCACAGGACTATCTTTATACTAGGTACTTGTGCTCTTCTCGTTTCTGTTGCTACCTTGTCTAGATCTTACTCTATTAAATCTCTCCTTGTTACTGATTCCTTCTGCAATCATGTAAATCCTGAGAATCCAAGTAGAAGTGAAGGCGATGTGAGAGTAAATTTTGAGTCTGTTACTCAAAGAATTCGACAAGAAATGAATGAGTTGAGAGGCATGGCGCAAGAGTCATCATCATCAGAAATCTTGGTGAGACACAGTGCTTTTCTTGCTGATATTCTCGGTCTAATTGAGTCAATGCAGGCATCTTTGACATCAACTAGACAGCAGAACACTGAAAACAAGGCCGTCCATCCCCTGGTGAAATCAAGTCAACAATCTGATGACCCTGCGGACTACTTTCTGATTGAAGAGATTCGAAAGTATGTCAGGGTCAAGCCAAACAGATTAGGAAAACAGAACTTCATGGGAGCTAATGGCACATTCACAAGTATTGGTCACACTTGTTTTGCGATGAAGAGAGAGCTAGAAGAGTACATGGATTACGATGTTGGTGAAATCTGCAATGATGACTGGAAACTAGCTCAGAAACTAATGATTCATGGTTGTGATCCACTACCAAGAAGAAGGTGCCTTGCAAGAGCCCCAAAGCTATACAGCCAGCCATTCCCCATTACCGAGTCCATGTGGAAGCTTCCTGATGATCGCAATGTTCGATGGAGTGGATACAGATGCAAGAACTTCACTTGTCTGGCAAACAATGCTACTCGCAAGGGATTCTTCAAATGTGCAGATTGCTTCAATCTTTCAGATCATGAAATGCCCAGATGGATTAAGCCAGTGGATTTAGACCCTGAAACAAATTTGACAGCAGATTTTTTTATACCTGAAGTGCTGGATATCAAGCCTGGGGAGATTAGAATTGGATTGGATTTCAGTGTAGGAACTGGGACTTTTGCAGCCAGGATGAGAGAGTTCAATGTCACGATAGTTTCAGCAACAATCAACCTTGGGGCACCTTTTAATGAGATGATAGCTCTTCGAGGACTAGTGCCACTTTATTTGACTATAAATCAGCGCCTCCCATTCTTCGACAACACCCTGGATTTGATACATACGACGAGATTTCTTGATGGTTGGATTGATTTTGTACTCCTTGACTTTGTGCTGTTTGATTGGGATAGAGTTTTGAGGCCAGGGGGTTTGCTCTGGATTGACAGTTTTTTCTGTTTGAAGGAAGACTTGGACGATTACTTGGAGGCATTCAAGGTTCTAAGGTACAGAAAACACAAATGGACAGTTGTTCCAAAGCGAGATAAAGATGATCGAGAGGTGTTCTTTTCTGCTGTATTAGAGAAGCCGCCAAGGCCATTCCGATGACCATATACATTGTAGTATCGTACTGTTATGTTCATTATACATCTATAGCCATGCGGTTCAAAATTTTCATGTAAGAATGCAGGCAAAAAATTGCATCCAGAACTGGTTCTAGTTCCTTATCAAAATGTTTGTAGAAGCCAATCTAGAAACATTACACTAATTTCTGCATTCTGGTATTTGTTGTATTTGTTTGTATTGAGCAATGCTACACATGTGGACAAAACCTAGATGGGTGTAAATTTGCCTACAAATTGTAATCTTTTGAGGTACGGACAGAGAAACAATCGGAGGAATAAGAAGGCATATCATGATAAGAAGCATCTCTTTTTGGTGAGGCTGTCCTTTTCTTCGCTGACAGTGAGTGTGGCTGTTGAGACAGATTTTTCCACATTCAATGGGCCAAAGCTTGTAAAAATGGAATCGGGCCACCAAAACAGATAAAAGTAACCATTTGCTACTGTCTATACTTTGTTTTGGGTTGGGGGACCGTTCATTATTCACACGTAAATTATTGAAAAGAATCCCCCTTTTCCTATCTCTAAGCCTCCCGGGACTGCAAGACAGCAATCCTGTAAGGGTAAGCTCCCAAATTCCAAATTGAAGGCCTTAATGTTTGAAAATAAGAATATGTATTATATTTCTATTGATTTGCATATTTCGTATCATTTAAAATACGCAATTATAAAAATTAAGAAATAGTATTATTGGATTCACCAACCTCATAAATTGTAGCTCAATCTCATTAATTTTTCAAAAAAAAAATTTACATCTCATTAACTATTCATATTTGCATATTTTTTAAAAATTTTTGTTAAAAATTAGAAAAAGAACTTAAAAAACTGGCCAAAGTAAAGCCTAACGTGGAGCCCACTGATGGTAACCCGAAGCGACCACTGAAAGGCGATGGCCGCCCATGACACCACCATCCCATTAAAAGTTCGCCACGTGTCCTTTTCGGTGAATCTTTTCAAGAGCACCGCACCGTCCTATCTTCAGTGCCTCCACATTCCTGTCCTTCGAATTTCTGGACCCCACTCCATCCATCATAGCCCCGTCAAAATCGAACGCCGTCAAGTCTTTTGATTTAAAATTCTCCCCGAACCATTAGGTTCGGCTCCACACCTCAGGCTAGACTCCTCTACGGTTTATATATTCCCATCATAAAACCCTATATTGCCTACTTATACACACATACACATTCACTTCGATACTTTTCGGACACCGTAAGAATCGGAGACAAAGAATCCTTCTTTTTAGGGTATTGGTCGGGAAATTTTTTAGCAATGGCGGAGGAATCAGAGAGCAAGCAATCGGCGGTGGGGTCGGTGATAGAGAAGATCAGCGAGAAGATTCACGGCCATGATTCATCTTCGTCTTCAGATTCGGATTCGGATCATAAGAAACCGGCCTCCCCATCCTCCGTTAAGGCTAAGATTTATCGGTTGTTCGGAAGAGAAAGGCCCGTTCACCATGTTCTTGGTGGTGGAAAACGTACGAACCCAAACACGTTTCACATTTTTTTATTAAAAATTTCGTTAATGAGATCAGGGTTTTAGATTTTTAATTTTGTTTATGGATTTGATGGAAATGTGAGTATGAAATATAATGCAATTATTTTACAGTGATTAAAAAGGTTACTTTGAGGGAAGATTAATGGATCTGTATTTTATTTTATGCTTTATGATTTGTTTGATAGTTAAGAAAATGCATGGCGTGAGTCCCATTTTTGTATTTTATTGATTCTTTTTGTTGAAAATTTTACTTCTCTTTAAAGACTTTATAAATAGATTTTGCTTAAAAATCAAGCTATTAAAATCATCTTGATTCTAATATTTGAAAATGATGTACTCATCTAAGCAGGTTAGTGTATAGGGGACTTTAGAAAGAGAAAGTCTTTTTTTTTTTCATCGGGTTGTAGATTATTGGTTTTTGTTTGTTTTAGAAGCTGATGTTGTCTCTTTCCACGATATTTTGGTGGTAATGATTTGGTGCAGCTGCTGATGTGTTTTTATGGAGGAAAAAGAAGATTTCAGCTGGCGTGCTTGGTGGAGCAACTGCAATCTGGGTCCTTTTTGAATTGGTTGAATACCACCTACTTACTCTAGTCTGTCACATTTCCATACTCTGTCTTGCAGTAATGTTCTTGTGGTCCAATGCTCATACCTTTATCCACAAGTAAGCTTTATGGTCTTTGTAGAAACTTTATTTCGTTTGGTAATTAAGTTTAAGATATTGTATGATTTCTTAAAGACGATGCCCTGAATTTTTTTCTTATATAGGACTACACCTCGCATCCCAGAAGTTCATTTACCAGAGGAGCCATTCCTCCAAGTTGCATCTGCTCTGACAATTGAACTTAACCAGGCATTGAAGCTGCTGCGAGATATTGCATCTGGAAGAGATCTGAAGAAGTTTCTTATGGTGTGTTTATTTTTATGTCTGGTGATTTTATGAGTGCTTCATCTAAGTTTGATTGGGGGAATCACTTATATTTCCACTGTTTGAAAGAACGCCATCCATGATTTGGATTTCAGGTTATAGCTGCTTTCTGGATCCTGTCAATTGTGGGGAGTTGGTGCAACTTCTTGACCTTGTTCTACATATGTAATGAGACCAAATCGCTCACTTGTTTCTTACTGCTAATTTTATTTATCTATATAATATTATACTGAATTTTGTATGAATTCAGCTTTTGTTTTGCTGCATACGGTGCCTGTTATATATGAGAAGTACGAGGACAAGGTTGACCCATTTGCGGAGAAGGTGATGATTGAGATAAAAAAGCAATATACAGTTTTTGATGCCAAGGTTCTGAGTAAAATTCCAAAAGGTCCCTTGAAGACCAAGAAGGTTTAGAGAGCTCAGGTGTTTAGTCTCCAGCAACTTTTGGTTAGTTATGGGGTTTCCAGGGTTTGGTTGTGTTCTATATTCACATTAGAAAGAGGCATTTCTTCCTCAATCAACAGTTCTCTAATGTTTGGGTTTGCAATTCAAAATATCATCATTAAAAGCAATCAGTTGTTAGCAATAGGCCGAGCTTGCAGATGGCACCATGAGGTGATGATTTTATTATATAACTTTGTTTCATTTGGATAACAATCAGCTTTTTATATATGGTTGCCACCTGATTTTGTACTGTTAAGGTATGTGTTATTTCCTGATTAATATGGTACTTTGGTTGTTTCCTTATGGTTAGTCCTTTAAGAGTTCATCAATTTGAGCGAAACTGTAAATTGGAAAGTCCAGGAAATGAATGTAATTATAGACCAAAACTAACTGAATTTGTGATAGATCATGTGCAGTATTTACCGTTAAGGTAGAAGAGCTCGGAGGAGTATACAAAATCTAAATCAAATATCACAAAAACGAAATTATCATTTTTATTGTCATTTGCAGTGTTTGTCACCAATATCCATTTTCATAGCAGTTGGGCATATAAACACTTGACAATGAACAATGGAGGGATTTCTTCTCATTTCAATTATGAAATAATTGATCGAAGTGAATATCATCATGGTTACAATATCAACAACGAAACTATACCTTTGAATGATTACATCATCCAAGAAACTCAGTATTTTGGTAGTAGTCTTGATAGACCACCACCACTCTCTGATGACGTGAGAGGAACAGTCGAGAATTCTGAATCAGAATGTTCAAACTGCCGAAAATTTCTTTGAGAAGGTAGGGGGATTGAGCTCTGGATTGGAGAGAAACCAGAAGCAGCAGTTGTTTGGTCAGACACAGATGAACTAGGTCCTGCAGCATTTGGACTTCTTCCATGAAGGTCTTCTCTGGAGCTACTAGCATCTTCCGCTAATTCCCTCTTTTCTCTTTCTTCAGTTTCCTTGAGCAGAAAATCAACCCACAGATCTGCAATAGACTGAGGAGAAAAAGATGCTTAAGACTTGGATTTTCAACTGTCCTCGTAGTAAAATTGAAAAAGGAGGCGGAGCTATATTGATGGTGGCAGCTGATCAAGTCAAGGCTGAGCTATATGTGATGATTCTGAACATTCACATTTTCATTGAATTGGGTTGAGTCAGCTTTTACCCTCTAATGCTCACCCAAGTTCTAGATTCTGGTAGCATCACTGGATTAAAGAGATAAGAGACTGTCCTCTAATGGAAGACATGATATTTAACACATTTAATGTACAGAGTATTGATTTATTTCTCCTTCTTTCCTTTTTTTTTTTCCTATACTTTTGCTTGGGGAAACATGTACAGATTTTCGACCATATATTGTCAATTGTCAAAGCTAAATCCCAGGCTCAGTTGCAAAATTTTCTAAGGAAGAGCAAAATTAAATGCTAGAGTTAGAGATCTGTTAAATAGTGTGAACACTAAGGTGACCAAGGAACATAAGATTACCTCCCAAGAGTGGCAATCATAAATGTTAAGAAGGGAAAAGTGGGTTATTGAGGATTTGTTTACAGGGGTGTATATAGGTTACCAGCACTAACACACTGCCCACTCCGGACAGCAAAACTTAACTAATAATTTGGGAACCTTGAATGCTACGTGACTTGCATGTCATGGATAGTGAAAAATGCAATGGGTTTCAGAGCCTACAGGTTGATACATTAGGCCCTAATACTATTTATCTTGAGCTATGCTCTGAACCAATACTGTAGAAAGAAACCAAATTTCAACAGTTTCGTCATAAATTATTGAAACAGCTAAATAAGAAACATTATTTGTCCAAAGAAATTGGACAATCAGTTTTCTGAACAAGGTAAGAAGATACCTGGTTATCAGAGGCCATATTTGCATGTACGTCAGCTGAACTTCCACCCCAGATACCACCAACCAAACGACCAGGTAGACCCAAAACACCCCGGACAACACCTTTGCCAGCACCATGTTGAGCAACACCTATCCTCTGCTTGTCTTCATCCGAGAACCCCAGCATCCGAACCATAAGATCCAAAACCTAGAATTCATATGAATGTTTGTAAGTGCAGGAGACAGCATCTATTTTAACCCAGAAGTGCAGTTGAGATCAGTGCCGTAAATGATGTAAGCTATCCTACTGTGCCACAGCCTTGATTATCAAATATTAGTAAACAAAGGGAAATGAGTAGAGAAAATTCATTTTCCAGTTTTGTTGCAAAATTACTCGAACCATTATACCTCTTTGCTGTGGTTTCTCTGGAAGTAGGTCACAAGTAGTTTGATCACAATACGCCTGAAAAAATATTAGTCACATTATTAACATTCTAATAATCCAATGACACAGAAAATAATAAAAGAATAATATAATAATTCAAATATACTCAATAGAGATAGAAGAAGTTGGCATCAGTTAACAGCTACTATCATGGTTAAGCTGGTTTTGAAGATCAACTGTTGCAGAAACAACACATCTCGGTTCTGAACTTTACCCCACCAGTAACGGCCAAAGAAGTTCAGCATAGGGTCCACCTTCATTGAAGGCTTATTTTTATTTGAAGGTAGATGGCTATTTTCTTGATAAAGAAGTTTCTTTACATGGCATAGAATGCTATTCAATTTAATGCAAATGATGCAATCTATTATCAAAAGGGGGTTTCATCAGTCCATCAACAGAAAAGATAGCTCCCATCCCAAAATTAAAGAGAAGGAAACTGAGAGCATATATTCATGTACATACATCCAGTTCTAACATGTAGACAATTCCTCATGGTAAGAATCTGATTCAACATTTAAAAAGGCTAACCTGTCAACAAGATAATCAGAGTCCATAGACATTCTGTTAAGCCTAGTCATGCTCTGCTCAAGAGCACGCCTTAGTTTTCCATTATCTTCCTCAAGCTTGTTTATTCTGGTTTTCCTTTCTGCTAGCATCTTTTCAGTTTGTGAAAGCTTCACCAGTATTTCTTCCTTTTCCCGCTTTGATAATTCTGCATGTTCATCTGCATCCTGGAGAATGCATAAATGATCAGAAAGGAGAAGCATGGAAAAGCACTTTGACCTCAAGACACATGCTTTTCCACATTTAGAAATCAGGAAAGAAATTGCAAGGTAACTAAACAGCATATCTGATATACAGAATAAAACTCGTAAGTCCCATTTTTTACTTAACCCATTAATTTAGAGAAGCAATTAACAAGGATGGAGGACTATACTCTGAGAAGACCAGAAAGTCTAGCTGATTCTTCTCTTGCCAGAGCCAAATCCCGCTCCAAATGTTCCTATAACAGAATAATATTAGCATTAAAAACTAAGTTTTATTTGGCCACCGCTTTTGAGAATGTCTGTACATACATAATACTAAACATTTACTTACCTTAGCTTCAATTTCAGCATAGTACTGACCAAGGGCGGTTTGAAGATTTAGTAGTTCAACATCTTTTGCATCTATTGTTCTTATACAGTTTGCAAGTTTCTTATTCAGATCATCAATGATTTCCTTAGACTTCTGAATTTCATTGTTGTTTATCATCTTAACTTCCTCCTGATTTGCCATTGCCAACTTCAGGGCTTTCTCCAAATGTACAATTTGAGCTCTTTGATATTCATTGCTGTCCCGAAGTTCCTCAATAATTTTGCTATCTTCATCCATTTTTTCTGATTCTTCAGATTCCTAGAAAATATTCCAGCAAGAGAAACCATCTTCAATTTTGACTGCAGAAATCGTAAGAAATTACATTTACTCAAAACACACAGGATCCAGGATCCTCATAGAATCTAGCACAGGAAAGAGAATGTTGAAGTTGATCCTAAAGAAAAGCTTAAAAGTTAGGCAACCACACTATTGTTTTTTTCAGTGGAACGTACCCAACATCCTCATCCAATAAATCTATCACAAAATAGAACATCAACATAGACACTGTAAAATCAAGACTAGAATTTTTAACATAGAAAAATCAGAAGTCAGAATTCTTGTTTTATTTTTTCTTTTTTTCCCCATCATGGAGGGGGTGAATTACAGAAACAACGTAGAGCAATATTTTTCATAATATATGGGAATCAAGGCCAGATAATCACCGTTGCATGCAAAGATTAAAGACTAGCTAGTGATTGCAATATCAAATTGTCAAGATGAACAAATAAATCCAACTGAGTAGAGCATATACTCTACACTAAACAATTTGGGAGATGCCATTTCACTCTACTAAGTGATAGTAATATCAATTGGTCACAAGAAACAAATAAATCCAATTGCACAGCATATATTCTACAATAAACAATTTCAGAGATGCCATTACAAGTGAAACTTGAAGATGTATAAGGTTAAATTTTCACCACAAATTCCATAAAAGTTCAGGGGACTGCAACCTTTTCTAGCAAATGCTGCTTAAGACGAGCCAATTCTTGCAAAGCCTTATCCCTTTCACTGCACGTTTCTTTCAGATCTTTTTCCAATTTCTGCAGTGATAGTTCCATTTCTTTCTTTCCAGAAAAATTTCCTGATGAATCTAACTTCTGGTAAAAAAATAGATGCATATGAAAAAATTGATAAAATGGAACAACCACCAATTTAATGTTACTTGAAAGAAACGTAACTCTCTCTCCAAGACATACTCTCACACAGACTCACAAAAAATAAGACCAATAATCAAATTCTATATGGATTAAATTTAGCCAATGCGACACATTGGGCACATGCACACTAAAACCAACCAAATATAGCCCATTAATAGCAAATTGCATATTACCAGAGTCTCTGAAGCATTGGGATCAATCTTGCTGGTTAAAGATCTCCTGGTACTCTCCAGAGCCGCCTCGAGTTCATTCTTCTCCATCTATGAGAGGATACAAATGGAAGTAAATTCAGGATATTAATATAAAAGAGCGATATATTTTTCATTGATGATGATACATTTCTCCAAATGGCAACAAAATTAACAAGGAAAGCAGGTATCAACCTTTAGATGAGTGTTTTCCTTCTCCAAGGTGGCAATCACTCTTTTCAAATTGTCATGTTTATCATCTGCACTTTCGTTCTCCCGTCTATTCAACTCCATTTGCAAACGTCTTATTTCTATTATTTTCTCATTCAATTCATTGCGCATTTTGCTCAACTCTGTGAAGCTCTGTCAATGCTCAATAGATCAAGAATATTCGACAATAACTCATAAGTGAAAGAAAAACAGAGAAGAGCTTATGAATGATTCCTTTAGCCATGGAACAAATGAGGAACTCAGAATGGCCTTTTAACTAAGATAGATCAAAATGATTTTCTACATCCCAAACGCAACTCAAATGAAGAACACAATCACATAAAGTAGCAACCACTAACAAACTAATAAAATTAGTACATATGTAACAACACATAAAACATCCATAAAAACATACTAATTTCAAGGAACACCCTAATACCAGGATTGAGGCTAAAAATACAGAAACAAATTATACTATTGGAAATATGCTAATGTGAGGCAATACAAAGCACGTAAAACTCGTCATCACTATTCTTATAGATAATTAACTGTAAAAGCCTGTGAAGACTACCTGAATCAGAGAAAATAAAATGTTCAACTTTGTCGTACTTAAAAGTAACCATTAAGGTTCTATAAAAAAAAGGTTAACTTTTACGTAGATAATTAAGTGTAAAAGCCTATGAAGACTACCTGAATCGGAGAAAATAAAATGTTCAATTTTGACATACTTAAAAGTAACCATTAAGGCTCTATTAAAAAAAAGGTTAAAGGTTACTTTATACAGCCAAATCAATGATAATGTCTATCAATGCCAACCAATTCAGAAGCTTACTTTATCCTTGTCTGACTTCAGTAACTTAAGCTCCTCCTGAAAAGACTCATTCAGCTTGTGCTCCTCTGGAAATTTAAAATAAAGAAAAAAGAAGGAAAAAAAGAGATTATTTTTCCTTTGTTTGACAATGGGTGATATAGCAAGTATCATAATTGGGTCTTCAAGGTGTACAACTATGCCTTGTAATCTTATCTGTAGATTCGCTAATTTATCTCGTTCTTTTTCAAGTTCCATCTTTAACTGCTTTATTTGTAATTCATGACTAGCTTGAACTGCCTCCAGGGACTTATTTTTCTCTTCCAGCAAATCTGCAAGCTCCTAGAAGGCATTTATATATCTTTTTGTCAAGTTCACTCATTATCTAAACAACCATATAGAAGTATGGATGAAAAAGTTCTATATTGGAATAAAATGGACAAAATCAATAGAATGGGCATATTATACCCTGTAAAAGGGGGGAAAATAAAACAGCAGAAGGGTGCATGCACCAGGTGTACACCAATTATATCCAGACAGCATAATAATGCCTCTTATTACAAAATAGAAAAAAATGAACAGTGCCATTACCTTTTCTTTTCCATCGTGTCTATAGGTAAGACCATTAGACATTTGGTTTCCAGCATTACGATTTTTTACTAGACTTGTTGGCTTATACTGTCGGTTTGGTGACATGTCACCATTTCCCTGCATAAATTTCCAAAGTCAATCGGCCAATAACCAATGGTTTATTTCTGACTTGGTGGAAGAAGAACCAAAATTCAAGACAAACTCAATAGATCAACATATCCAGTGGAAATAAATGCATGTTCCAGTACAAGAGTAACAAAAAAATTCAACAATAATACATGCATGTTACTTAATTGAGCCACCATACCATCCAAGTATACTAGCCAACTCATTTCATAGAGGATAAACGTCAAGACCTTGTTATAAGAATTAAAAGACCAATTTCTCATTCTTAGACAAAGAGCTTATCTCTACATTCAAGTTTCTATGACATCCGCTTCATGGGAGATTGCCAAAGTTATGAAAACACAATAAAATGAAATCCCATTTTATCTATATCTGCTTCTTGCACGATAATTACAGCATAAATTACATCAGAAACAGCACCCTCAGTGGCAACATCATGTTAGCTTAAAAGTGAATTATTACATGAAACTACAGATGACTTAGAATTGAGGAACCTATTGCATGAATTCCACAATTTCTCAATAAAGCATTAAATCTCAGACAACTCTAACTGAGACTCTAGTACCTTGAGTGCATTAATTCCATTCCTTGATAATTTGGAACTTTCGCTTCTAGCTGCGCTCAGAGCTGCATTTGTCACATTCAAATTTTGTTTCAATGAGCCATTCTCTTGGTTCAGTCTGGAAATTAGCTCCTGGAAGAAGATATGTTAATAGAACGCCTCTAAGATTAGCAAGGCAGGCAGTGTATGACATGAGTTATAGAAACAATCATGATAGGAAAAGAATGGAGATACTAACTCTAAGCATGATATATGATGTAACACATAATCTGCCATTTTGTAATCCTCTTCAGTTAACACCCATAACTTTGGAGTTTGGACAACCCCAAAAAGATATTTTAGCCAGAAGGTTCAACTTAAGTGACAAGGATTTGCAATTCAAATGACCAATCTAACATCAAGTACAGTTTACAAAGTTCTCAGGATGTATCACAAAGGAAAACAGCAGCATTCACCCCTTTTTTTTTTTTAATTTCTATATAGCTCCCGCCAACCCAAACGTTCCTCTTAGGCCTCTTGTAGTACTAACTGATAAACTGATATTTCAATTCAGTTTTGAAAATTATTTATTATTTGAGCATTAAATGCAGAATCATAAGTCAAGTATTTGTTAAATTCAATTGTAAAATGGATGATAAAAGCAAAATGCTTCATTAAAATTAGTAATACATTATGGATCCCAAATATGATGAATGAAAAACAATTTTAATTATTTGCATTATTATCATTTATAAGATTTGAACTTTAGACCAATTTGAGAGATAAAATACAAGAACTACAACCAGCTATCGGATACCTCTTTTTCTTTTAACAAAGCCGCATAATTGACTGATAAAGCCTTAATTTCTGCCTCAGAATCCTGAAGCTTCTTAATTTCTTCTCTGTATCTTTCAATCTACCAAAAAAAAAAAAAGAAAAGAGACAGTTTAGTTATCACGAATGAAGACAGGAACACCACAAATGCCACACCTACTAGTATGGTAGCATCCATGAGATTAAAGAATAAAAAATCATGCTTACAAATTGACTCAGTCAAAAAGCAGCCGGAATGCTTGACAATAAAACAGGTCCATATGAAACCCCAAAATTGGTTCAGTTTCAAACCTAAGCCATTCATAATTCAAAAAATTATAGTATACACCATAGTACAAACTTCAATCAGTTTTTCTAACTATTTATCACTCAAATATAAAAATTACTATACCAAAAAGCATTAAACCCAGCTACTTGGGTTCTAGAGGTTCTCAATCAACACCAAGAACTCAAGAACTATCCCCGTGACCAATGTTACTAGGACAACTCGTTAGACTCATAATAATAATCAAATAAAAGTTCCATGCATTGATATAAGGATCCTTGAACTACATCAGCACTATTTCATGCTATTAAGAACTTCGAACTTCACCAAGAATATATAAGCAATAGATAATGAAAAGAAATTAAGCCATGAATATTTAGAAATTGAATTTATCTAGTCAAAGTTTTGGATCTACCATTGGGTCTCCTACAAACAGAAGTAATAACCAATGCAAAATATCGAATTCACAATACAGGTTAATTTCACGCCTAAGCTATGATTCCACAAAACCTGATTCCAGATTGCTCAGAAAAAAAAAAAAAAGTTACCTACTCGTACTGTCATATGTGATAAATCCCTAATCAAAGACCGATACTAAAATCCTCAACTAATAGCCACAATGCACTCATTCCTAAACTCAAAACTGTAGAATCTCAACTAATATCATTCCATAAATTTTCAAAGGCATCGAACAACCAACTGAATCTACTCAAAGCTCCGTGAAATAAAAACATGAAATATTATTAAAAAAAATTCAAGCACAAAAAGTAAATGCAGTAATACCTCAGAATTAACCGGCGAATCAATTCCATTGGCGACCGGAGAGAGGGAAACGGGCTTTGAATGGGCAAAGCTATGAGAATTCCGTCTCTCAAAGAATGTCGAATCGTCTCCGTTTCCCGAGCCATAGATCTCGAGTTCTTCGTCGTCACCGTCATGCACATCGAGCGCGATCTTATTCAAATTCTCTTTCAAATTCGCAATCGAACTCCACATCTTCCAAAGCTACCGCAATCAATTTGTACAAATAAAAGAATACTTGTAATTTTTCAAGAAAAAAAGGAGGGTTTTGAAAATATCTAATATTTTCTTCAATGAAATTAGGGCAAACAAAATTGATATACTGAATAACGTGCCAAGGAAGATTGAATTTGATTGAGGATTTAGTTTTTGCAGGTAGATCTGATTGATAAATAAGAAAAACAGTAATTTTAGTTTTTAAGAAAGGTATAGATCAGTCTGGCATATGAAACGGGTACCTCCCCTTTCGTTTGAGACGGTACGACTACCGACTTGTTATTTATACAGGTAAGGCGGTCGAAATTTTACGCGAAAAGAATCGTAACGGCTTCCATCTTTGAAAATAAAGTAAAAAATTTTTTTGTTCAATTACTGGAAATTTGGAAATAGAAACATAAATAGTAAATAAAAAGTTACAAACAAATATTTTATTTGGATCACAACATTTATGGACTATCCTTTAAAAAAAAGAATTAGATTAAATTTTTATATTTTTATAGTATTTTTTGACAAAATTTTAAAGTAGTATACGTGGAAAACCTGATTGGTCTATTGGGCCTGAGCCAGAAGCTACACTTAGCGGGCTTCTCTATCGCCACAATGAATATCCAGCTCGCTCTTTATAACGAGAAACCACCCACCTCTTCTCGCGCTGTGTAGGGTTTGGGTTCTTGTGTGGGACTTCTCCTTCCTCTACTTTGTTCCACTTTCTCTCCCTCTCTGTTTCCCTATTTTTTTTTTTATCGTTTCCGTTCTCTTTTTATCGGTTAAAAAGTTGGGATCCATGCGATGAAGATAACGCCTGGAAAGGAAATTCGATTGTGGAGTAGTTCATAACTGTTCTGCAAGATGAATCCTTGATTTTCTGGTTCGTATTCACTGAGCATCAGTTTCTTTCTCCAGGTTTTCGATTTATAAAATCGGTCTCTGTCCCCTGTCTTTTTGGTTGCAAACAGCAATTTTCTATTCGGAGAAACGAAGGACCTATGGATGGAGTGCGATAACAATGCACTTTAATCCAAGTTTGCCTTCGGAAATCGATATTGAAATTGGATCATCCGAACCAACCTTCATTTTTCGGTTCGGTGTGTTATTCGGTTCTGATTTTCGAACATTTTTATTCTTAACAAAATGGGAATGATTTTTTTTTTTTTTGCAGCGGCGAAGGTTCCAGCAGGGAGGTGAGAACTCGATGAATTGAGACCTCTCTAACAAATTAACCAAAATGCCCTTGCAAATGTATTTTGCCGAATCGTAGGATGCCCAATTAGTCTATTTTTGGAGCGTCTTGAACCCTAGGCTACATTCACTTCTCTTTTCCAAAACTCTTTTCTGTTTTCTTTTTCTTTTTTCTGTGTTTCGAATCGTTTTTTAGGCAGAACATTCAAAGCAAAAATCAAACCCAAACATTTTCAATTGAATGTTCCAAGAGGTAGAGGTCTGTAAACTGGAGCAATGAAAAAACAAGTTGAAAATGAAAGAAGGTACAAAAATGCAAGAGAGGATGTTGGAGTTTGAAGATGGAACCCCATTAATATTTGGTTAGACTCTTTCAGCGAAGAAATAAATAAAAACTTGATTAGCAGCAGCCTAGCCTATGCCAGAAGTCAAGGGTGCCAGAAATTAATTTTGAAACTAATCTCCAAAAAAAATAAAAAATAAAAAAGGACTGAAAATGATTAGGAAACAGGAGAACTAAAAAAAAAGGATTTTATCAATTCCTTGTTTGGAGGTTTAAAATGTATCGATGTTGCTATACAAGAAAAAATGCCTATACACGGGTCGTACTTGATACAGCATCCATGCAATCTAACAATCCCCCTCAACTTCGCAGACTAATAAGGTGTCATTTAGGCCTCACCGGGTATGAATATGATGCTCATATCTTATCAGCTGGAGGTGGTGGGTGAAACTAGTGACCTTGGATGCGGCTGCACTGAAGTTGTATGGAAGCGTAATAAGTTGCTACTCAAATGCTCTTGTGCTTTCTAATGCAACATAAAATAGATGGTGACTCTAACCAAAAAGTGGAAATGGAGGCTTGATTGTTCATTCCGATATCTTTTTCTCTTTCATTTCTATATTCATCAACACCAAGTGCAGAAAATTTAGCTTTGAAATGCAATTGAACTAGTACCTTATGTCTAAAAACATTAATGATTAATGAAGTGCGCTGCAGGAAAGGCTTGCTATACTTACCTTCCTTCTGGTCTGATATAAGCATCCTTTGTCCTTCTAACCTGCATGTGAAGATTCAATAAATGGAGATGAGTATGAAAATGCAGCTGAATACAGATGCTTGTATATGCATGCATCAGCCATCAAACTTGCGCCATTCATGCTCATAGAAAAAGCAAACTGCCTGCAAACACTGGCATTCGTATACTCCGCTTGAAAGAAAAACATAGTGCCATGCACCAATGCATCTAGACTTTGAAGAAAAGTACTGAACCTACCTCAATAATCGTGCCCATGTCGGTATTGCTTCCATGGTAATAGTGATAGAACTCAATTGGTAAATTGATTAAAGAATCATAGGCCCCAGTGTAACCATATCCTTCTGATGTATTTTTCCAGATTCCTTATTAGTGATTGTACTAGAGTCCTCATTTGGTGTTATTTGGTCTTTGCTCTCCTTGTTCTCAAGTTGATCACAGATAAGATCTTTTGAGAGGCGTCTTTGATTCTGAGTGACCTTCCTAGTTTCTTCGGCAGTTACAATGGCATCTTTAGCAGCATCTGTATCAGCTACCGTCAAAGCTTTTTTCTCCTATTCCTCAACTGCAGCTTGAACTTTCTCAAGAAACTTGTCATCCTCCTCTGGAAGAAAATGGCCTGCACAAGTTGGAAGCAACCTTAAAATTTCACTAGAACCTGAGACAGTATAATCTGTTGATATCATAGATATATAAACACTCTAATGCGCACAGAGCAGGGCTCCTTATTTTAATTATGGAAAATTCAGGTAAAAGTTTTGGAATATGAAAGTCAATCTTCCGTATTGTATTTTGTAATGGATGTTTCTGAAGGTATTAATTCTCAATTAATATGTAAAATATAAAGCACATGAACTCAGACTTAGACAGAAGGAAATGCACAAATTTACCCACAGAAAAATAAAAAAAGAGCATCTATCATAAGCCAGCGTACGAGTTGTTGGATTTAGCAGCTAAAGTCAATATTACATAGTGCACTTTTATACAGGTTGAAGAAAGAAGTATAAAAGAAACCAAATAATCTAATCACAAGACACAGAAGCTAATTCAGTCTAACAACTTAAAGCCTGTATAATTTATAATACCTTGTTTCTTCAATTTCTGGATCCTCATGAAACGCAAATCTTGCAGCTTTTCCACAATCAAAACTAGCTCAAGCTGACATATAAAACATACTATAAGAATAGACAAAAAGTATAGAGAAAATAGCGAAAATAAAAAGGAAAGAAAAGAAAAGACACCCCTAAAATTAGCATTTTTCTAATGTTAATCTTGCTAGAAAAGACATATTGAGAGAAAATCTACAAAAAGTGTTGTATCAAAAGTACATAGGAGAAGCATCGAGGAGGTTTTTGCAATCAAACTGTCATGCTACTATCACGTTGAAAAGTGGACAATAAATTATAAACTAACAGCAGATAAGAAACTTCTCATATTGATGGTGAGAAGAAAACAGTGCCATACCAAACATATCAGTATGTGTTAGCATGCTTCTTACCATGAAATTCTTGTACATATAGTAAATTATTAATTAATTTTATTGTCCTGGGCCAAACAGAAACAAGAAAGACAAAAAAGTTACCAGAACATTTTGCAATGACTTTACCTCGGATTCTAGTCTCTCTTTTTTTTCCTTTGGCTTTAAGCTTTGCTATTTCGTACATCTTTTCCACCTGCAAATCAACTTACCTCAGTTATTACTAAGTGAAAACAGTTTACAACAATGAAAATCAGTCGTAGGTTAGTAGCAAGAAACCCTTCCAGAAACACCAAATCACAGAACCTTGGCTTGCAATGTCCCTTGCAGTCTCTCTGGCTCTCCATTCATCAGCTTCTCGATCAGCTCGATCAAATCGTTCATGCTCCTAGCATTCATAACAACAACAACAAGTGAGCCATTTTAAACACAAGCCAAGAGAAAAAAGCAACGTCAGGACAAACCTTACTATGACAAACCAAGCAAAACAACCTTTGCAAGCAATTCTGCAATTCGTTTCCTCTTTCTTTTCCTCCAAAGTTTATTCCTTTTAGACGTCTTAATTTTATTGGTCAGTCTAGCTGCTGCTGATTTCTCCTCCCACGGGTTCGCTTCATCCACCACATATCTAAAGGGCTCCAACTGAACTCTTAGCTTTGACATCAAAGAATTCCCCGCTTCCATAGAAAGTGATTCTTGGGTTTCCAAAATAATCCTCCTATCTTCTAGATACTTCAAGAACTCGGAAACAGAAAGGTACATTTACCCATTTTTAATCATCGTTAGTATTTCCAGCTCCTTTTGCCTATGGAACTGTTGAATTTTATTACAGTCAGAAAAAAAATTTGAAAAGAATACAGCATTGATAGTTGATGCTATTGAATCATTTTAAAAACCAGAACTAACGTACATTGAATTGGCAAGATTAAGTGTATCTTGCAATTCACTAAGCCGATCACGCACATTTCTGGTCTCCTAAATGTACTCGAATTTGGTGGTTCCGGCGGTAACACTGGGAACCAAGACGGAGCCGTTGCGGGTTGGAAGTGAACTGGTTTCGTTGCTAACAATGATTAAAGACTAATCAGTCAGAAATTTTTTTAAAAAAATGAAATCAAATATTTAATAAAAAATCGTGATATGTAACAGGGATATCCTAAAAATTACTATTTGTCTCCCTTGGATATTCTGTTATCAGATGCTAAAAAATCATTAAATATGTGTATTATAATGATGAAAATAAGATATATGCAATTAAATTGGTTTTTACCAAATTGAAACCTAGAATTAAGGAAACTTAACAGTGAAATGAGCAGTTTAATTTATCTAAACAAAAATAGAAAGAAAATAATACAAATCAAAGTAGATTTTTATATATTTATTATATTATATTAGATTTATACGCATAAAAAAATAATTTTTAACATAATTGGTGGGTGAATAATTAAGAATTGTTTCATAAAGTAAAATTCCTTTCATTAGTCAGATTATCAAAGTAATAATGTGGTAAATAGTAAATTTAATTTTGGGAGTCAATTAATGTAAAAATTTTAATTGATTAACCATAAAATTTTGCATTAACTAATGGACACATGATATAGCATTAATTTAGATGGTCCATATGTCAAAAAAATAGTTTTTTTTTTTGCTAATTGTTTTGGATTTTATATATTTATTATATAAGATACTGTATAAGATTTCATTTCATTGCAATATTCAAGTTAAGTTATTTTTTTCATTTAAAAAAAATTACTTTAGATGTAATTATGTACGTGAATTTTCAGCCAGCGGGCCTGATAATTGGGTGCTAAGAACAGCTTGTGGGCTATGGCCCATTACTGAACATACAATTTAGAACACTTCGGATCCAATCAGGCTAAAGGTGGGCCTTGCAAACCAAAGTTAAACAAGCCCAAGCATCGACCAGAAAATCAGTAAGATGATCATCCAGGTTAAAACATGAATCAAAATGTTCAGAAAAGAGTCATTTGATAAAATGACATTAGAAAAACTAATTTTTGGTATACTCTGGGTGTCTTTGAACTGAATAAGACAACAACCAAATGATTAGAAGTTTAGGACATAAGTTCTCAATCCTTTGCCCCTTGTTTTTTTTTTTTTTTCTGTAAGCAAGACAATTTCTGAAACTTACATCCAAAACTGAGCTCACATAATTTGGAGAACAATTGCACAAATATCTTTGTCCTGTTGAGTTTGTCACAAGACAATTATAACATAAACAATAATGAATAGTGATTAAGAAATGGTACAATCACCATATGTGTGTGTGTGTGTGTGTGTTTTACGTCTTTGTTTTGTTAAAGTAACTAATCTCCAAGATTCCAAATGCATGAATCAGAGAAAATATAGCATAAACCATCAATGGACACAAGAAGTCGTATGCTTTGCTACGCTTTCAATGGTAAGAACAACGACATATGGCCGACATTTCCAACGTGCAAGGTATAACAATGTTTTTGGTCCCCCCTCATCCAGGTTTGTCTATGGTGACTTGGCTTGTTTGATTGAGAAATACGTAAAGAGGAACGCCTTTGTTCATAAGATTGCCGTCTCTAACTAGATGATTTTTCAACCAAAAGAATAAAGTTGCTTGACTAATGAACTGGAAATCATTGTCAAAACTACCTGATGAATACATACTAACGATTATGTCCTTGTTCTAAGGTAGTAAATTTCTTGGCATTGCATTTAATGGAGGAGAATAATCAATCCATCATGACTCATCCTCATTTGTTAGGAGATGGTCTGAACAGGGACAATATTTCTGTGTCTGAGAACTCGGATGTAAACCGGAAAGTCTGGTAGTGAAGACAAGAAAGAAGCAGCAAGGACTTGAGTCCCCCCACTTGATAGGCTAGACTTCTAGCTACAAGAGAAAAACAAAACTGCTATAGTGACATTCATTTGGGGTGTTTCTTCGAAGATATGAAAGAAGATCCAAGAAGAGAACAAAAAAAGAAAACGAGAAGCAGAAAGGTGATATCAATGACTGGAATTTTCTCCTAACAAAGCTTGTTCATGTCCCCTTCTCTGTCTGCTTGTTTCATGCAAGAAACACTAGGAAATCGTGTCTCTGTATCAATAATTGAGGTTATTGGCAATTACGTTGACATTAACTAACATTCACACAAGATTTTATGGGGGCAATAAGATTAAAAGGGTTTGCAAAACGAGTTATTTTCGTTCAAGACCAAATTTCTTAAAGAATTTTAAAATACTTTTTGTTCTATATCAGGCACCTTCAAAACCCAAGTTCAGGTTAACTAATTGTAGAGAAATGAGACTCTTTTTTTTTTTTTCCCTGTCATGTTTCTTTGGGGCATCTTATCATTTTGAGAATTATCAACTATGGATAAAGGTAACCATTGGAATATTGAAAATGGTCCCCTCGATGCTAGATGAAGTGAAACCTTGGGTGAGACGAATGCATTTTGCTTTCTCCTTGCTCTCTAAATAGAAAAAGATAAGAAGAAAAGGCACAAACAAACAAGTTTTTTATTTTAACTTCCAACTTCTAAAAATGAGGCAAATTTACCATTATCTTTGATAGTACTACTTATTTCCTGTAAGCGAATAGATGGTGGTGGCTGAAGCCATGATGAGAATCGCTAGGTCTGGAAAAGCTATAATTTTCCGGACAATTTAATCATGCAGTCCGGATAAGCTGCAAATATTTTAGTTTGAAGGCCAATCAGAAGTTCAAATCTAAACTTCCATGGAGTCCCACCCCGTTGCTTATAGCATTATGTGAGATGCCAATACAATGTCTTGCAAAAGCACAAACTAGAGGATCTCACGCGTCCGAGAGCATAGCATAGGTTTGCCCACAGAAATGACCAGTGAAGAACAAGAGAAAATAATGACCTTGCGAAAGCCCTTAAGATGATTTCTACACCAACCACAAAAATAATAAAAAAAATTGACTTTTTATTTTCATAAGCACGATTCACAGTGAGGGAAAGAATTCTCTTCCGTGCTTTGGTCATGGTCGTAAACCTTAAACTGGACGTCCTGTTTTGCCTTGCAGAGCATATTAATCAGAAATGTCAAGCATCAGGTTCCTCACAGTGGAATGCTGGAAGTCTGATTCCGTGGATGTAACCTTGTAAATGGTCTATTATGAAAGACCTAGGTAAAAGTTTTCATTTATATTCTTCCTTAGAAGCTGGAAAGAGGGAGAGAAAAAGAACGCAACATGAAAATCCATATCATTGCAAGATGACAAAGACAAATATTTTATGATACCAGTTTAAGCCTTATGAAATAAGGAAACATATCATGTATATTAGTTTTAAAAAGTTCCCCCTTGTTTAAAAGAAAGATATGTATAAACATCTAGGGGAAAGAAGACAGAGAAATGAGACAAATAACAAGTTGACGCTTGATCAGCTGCCATTCATTTCTAGAAGTTCTTTTCTTTCTTCTCCTGTTATTTTTTCCTCATCTGAGCATGAATCATTTTTCTGAAAGGAAAGATAAAAACATAAGAAACTATCGAGATAATTATATTATACAGAAAGGAAATATTGAAAATACCTATCGATCTTTTGCAGTGGAGAACAGCCTCATAAATTGAGTTATCAAGATGACACGAATCACCCATTGAACAAGCTGTAATCTGTTGTGGAGTTGCTTGGGGTGAACCGTTCCAGCCCTTAACTTTCCACGTCCTCCTGTCAGTATCATCAACCCTGGTACTTTTTCTTAGGCACCTTACCTTATGGCAGAAAGGTCTGAGATGTCCAAAAAGATTTTGTAAGATTTGCAGTGTTGATTTTCTCCACTTTCTAAGAAAGCTGCAATGAATCCTCCCTGTTGGAATTTCAGTTCTTGAAGAAAAGGATGACCTAAGTGTCGTTTGGATTGAATCCAAGGCATTGCATGACTCTCTCTTTGAAGAATCAATATAAATGGGTCTGATGAAGCCATCGGTAAAAAGCTCATCAGCATGAATAAAAGCTGCAGGAGTTTGAGCAATAGCATCAAAATTGAAGTTCTGGTCTGTCGGAAATCTATTTGACTCTACCATCTCATAGTTGAATTCTTCTGAGGTACCTCCATAACAATTGTCAACAGATGCCCTGGGGGGCTCATTGAGGCCATCTAAGGAGGGTTGATAGTCAGATAACCAACTATAGGAAAAACTCTCAATGGCTAGAGGTTGTGAGGTTTCCATTAGCAACTATTAATGTGTTTGAATAGTGAAGATTAAAAATTTATATACTCTTACAGGGGGAAAATGACATAATTGGTAGTTTAGAGTGACCACAAGACCATGGTGACCACAAGGGCATACATTGTCCATTCTGTCAAAGTCAAGCAGGAGATAAATGGGCCAAGGTAATCTGTGAACCAAATCGACGGTAGGTTGTATGTTTAACTTTGTTTTCTTGTGTAGCTAATCCATCGTTACAAAATGATCCGTGTGATTGCCAACTGTCAGGAAAAGTCTTCACGCGATTGCAGCTAAGAATAGTAACTCAAATTTTATAATAAATTTATTTAAGATTTGTTAGATATTATTTAATGAATAAAAAAATTAAAAAAATTTTTTTAAAAAAAAAAAATTTTAATAGATAAATTTAACTTAAAAAAAATTATAAAAAAAAAATTTTAATAAACAAATTTATATGTTTATAAATAAATAAAATTTCTATAAAATTAAATATAAAAAAAAATAAGAGAGTTGTAAAATTATATAAGACAAACACTTCATAAGATTACTAAAAATTTATGTTTTATAAGTATATATTTGTATGTTTATGAGTAAATTATAAAAGATTGAAAAAATTTACATAAATATAAATACATAAGTGTGCGTGAGTATTTTTTTAGATTAAAAATACTCTATAAAATTGAAGAGAATTAAAAGAACTTATAGATATTGATTGTAAATGATTGATTTGATATTTATTTATAATTTTTTACAATTAATAAATTTTATTTTTCATCTATAAACGTAAATCAGTTAAATCGAATCACGTTAAATTACTCTCTTGTATGATTAATTAATTATTTGACTTTACTTCTACTGACTTAATAAGATATAAACTTTTTAAACTAACAAGCGATACCAAAGCTGTAGTGATCTCAACAATTGTTTCAATTGCTTTCATATTTCGGTAAGGAGATAAAATTATCAATTTTAAAAGTTCTTTTTCTCTAACACATTGAAAATTCAATATTGAACTTGAAAAAAAATAACAAGATTCCTTGAAAATTTACAAAATGAAAAAAGATTGAAAATAGAAATACCAGTTGCCCATGCATACAGTCACCTTTCTTACTTTAAGTAACTTTCAGAACAGAAATGGAAAGAACAAGCTACTGATGAGTATCATGCCTATAATGACAAAATATCCAAATTCAAAAATGGTGTCATTGAAGCTCCTCACATTTTTTTGATGGTCTTCTAGATTTCATATTACTATATGTATTAATACAACAAAATTTGGATAACCTATATGCCAGAAACTTTTTAAAACTACATTGCAAAATATTGTTGACAATTTCAATATACTATTTTGATAATATATCAAAAACAATGTAACTGCCTGATTACTGTGAATCTGAAGTGGTCATCAACAAGAACTTCTCAAACACAGCTATGTAGCACACAGTGACTAAAGTCAGCCAAAGGCAGCATAAAACATTACGTAATATGCTTTAATACTGATGCTTGAAGTTTTCACTGTACAATCATGTCCTCCCTGAAAGAAATGGAGCCCATGGAACAAAGAAGAAAAACAAAGACACGTGTACACAGACAATTTAAATCAACAAATAGCTAACGCCCTTGGCAGACTAAGCAAAGTTGTGTCAGGATTCTAATGCCAAATTATGTGTGCATTGCATGATACCATAGATGAGAAAATGAGGATTTATTTCCAAATAAAAAACAAGGTTAGAAAATGCATACATAAATTGACCACAATATAATGCTTATAACTAGTGATAAATAGGATTTTCAGCAACCACACAAAAGATCGAGGTATAATTACATGAGAAAGAAGAAATAAATACCTTCCAAATTTTGGTCATAAAAATGTTAAATAGTAACATTTGACGGAGGTAAGGTAGTACTCTTTTTAACCAATATTCTACTATAAAAAATAAATCACCAAAGGTTTTTGGGAGGTAAAGGAGGGAGCACTACAGCTTAAATGAAGGATCTCTACCAAAAGCCTAGCACACCCTCGACACTCGAGGTAACCCAGAACTCTAAAGCATCAAATCTTTAACAAAAGAGGAAAAAGAACTGGACAGGGGTCAATAACTGATTAACTGGTCAGACTGGAAATGGATGCCAAAACTTTTCCGAGACATAAATTGAATAATCAGGATGTAACTAAAAAGAAAGTCAAAGGTTCCCTCATTTCCTTTCAACACTGAAGCAACTTCTGGATGCATCCCATGTGTTACTGTGCAATATGATAGGCCAACAAATTCCAAACCCTGTAAGTGATCGGCCACATTATTTGATTTTTGTGATTGTGTTGTAATGTTAAAGAATCCAAAATCCTAGAATCTCCATCTAGATTATTTGATTTGTTATTTCAAACACACAGGGAGCATAACTAATGTGCTTAAGCAGTAAAACATGCACAGATGGATGTGAAAGCAAAGTCCAATTATATCACAAAATGGGGAACATTCTTAAGAATTTTGCAAAAGACCAAGATGTTTCAATTATTTGCATTTTTTCACCTTTTTTTTTTTTTTTCAATTCTAGCTTGTGGAAAGGAAAGAAGGACTACAAAAGCCTTCCCCCTGAAAGTATCAGTCTATGGTTGATCTTCAGGAAAGGAAGCTTATGTGAACCATATTATATATGCTTAGTTAAGCAAAATTGATAATATGCTAATGTGGGAATATAAATAATGATTCCCGCATTTACTTGAGGAACTCTAAATCTAATAAAAGGTGAGTGTATTTAAGGAAAGACAAATATACTAGTTCAGACTCAGACAAGAAGTCAGAACAAGACTTGCTCAAGTCAAGAGTTCAGTTGATCTAGTTCTAAAGAACATGTCAGATGAAAACAGGCAGTCGCTTGATTTGACAAAGCCACCTGCTCAAAACTCAAACGTGAAGGCCTAAAAAAAAACACTTTTTCTCGACCAAAGATACTCGACAGATCACTAAACCAAACAAGAAGGGAGCATTGCTTGACACTATTCAATGATTTCACTGAGACAGAGTATATGGAGGTGCAAAACAAAATAAATGGACAAAATGCAAGCAAAACCCATTGCAATTTTAGGTATTGAGTTGAACTACATTGTAAAACAAGTTCTTGAGAACAGAAAAATCTAGTAAAATGGCAAACAATAAAGACAAGGAGTGGTGGAATATACATACATACATACATACATACATATATACATACATATATGTGTGCATATATATATATATATATATATGTGTCGAAACAATGAGTGGGGGAACCTATTAAAAATAGTATTTAGTCTTCCACCTTGGTCTAGTGGCTATGAGGATTTTACGAGCACATAGAGGTCCTGGTCTCGAACAAAAATCTCCTCCCATCTCCCTTTGTAAGGGCTATGACAAGCCCTCCCCTGCACATAAAAAAATAGTGTTTAGGGTATTACCCAGAGTTCAAAATATAGGAATTTTCAAGTTATCAGAGCCATTGTAATCTAATATATATAATTGTTGAAAAATAAAACTGGGTCTTACTGTGTTTTCCAGTGCAGTGAAGTTGTGGAGCTGAAACACAGAAGGCGGTTGAAGGGGCAACTACCTACCGCCAACTGCAAAGGTCACACGGTTAGACTACGCCGTTTCATGAGATCTCCCCAGATATTATATTAATTTTATTTCCCCATCACAATGGCGAATTCGTTTTGGTTCTTGTATTTGAATGGAACCGTCCTTCACTCTTGGTAGAGATCAGAGTTGGGGATTATAAGAGAGATTTTATTGGGGGTGGTTCTGAACAGACGCATTTTTTCGCTCTCACACTCCTTTTTTTTTTTAATTACCTGTTCTTATTTCTCTCTACATTTTCAAAAAATTTTATATCAAAATTTTATATCTGATAAATTTAAAATAAATTATGTTTAAGACTTTAAAAAAATCAATTAGAAAAAATATCCTAAAAAATTTTCATACCATTAAAAAAAAAAAAACACAAATCATTTTAAATAATATAAACTCATTTATATATTGATAAAAAAACTATGCATGTGAGTTTTAGATTTCTTTTTTATTTTAACATTTTGAAAAAATATTAAATTTATAAATTTAAAAGTTTTAAAAATTTCAGATTTACAATTTCAAAAGTTTAAAAATAAAAGGATTATGAAAGGAAAAGGAAATTAAATAATTTTATTTAAAAATATATTTTTTAAAAATATAAAAAATAAAGTGTGTTTAGAACCACTCATTTTATTGTATACAACCTTAAAATGACTTAGTAAAATACCCAAAAGAATCGTTGAAATTACAAAAATGAAAAATAAAAATTGTAAAATTTAGACCTGAAAACGTGAATTAAAAAGGTAAAATTTAGATTTGGAAAACTATAAAATATAACCAAAGTCTGATATTCATATTAAAGCCAAAAAGAATGAAATTTATCTTCATTAATTGAATTAAGCTTAAGTGATTAGATAAATCATTAATTATTTGAACCATAAAATGTAAACACTCTTTGCATTAATTATTTTTCTCTCTCTCTCTCTATATATATATATATGTATTGCGATAGTATACCACAAGAATAGCAAATATGCATATAAATTTGTAGGACAAATTCAGTGAAATTTGGTAGCATGACTTTTAACAGGATCTTTCCAGGAAAAAGCCTTCTGATTCTTTCAGGATTCACGAGTTTGAGATGTGTTTAAAGTTTCTGCTCAATACTCCCAGCTAGGCAATGCCCTTGCCGTGCTTGAGATTTTCTAATATAAGTGTTTTAAGGATCAGCTAGCAGGCGATCGCTTGATCAATACGAACTCACCAAACAAGACAAATTGATTATCCACTCAAGGGAAAAAAAAAAATCAAAACGCGTAAGCCTTCTAAACTGACATTTATGTCTGGAGGAATTTTACATTTCCAAAGACTTGGTCAGTTCTAATTAAATGTATTCCTCTTGACAGTTTTCTGCGAAGAGTGTAAACAAATCAGATACCATGGAAGCAGGCGACAAAAGTCAGAGATAAGCCAGTTTTTGCATGAAATGGTGTTTTGGCTTCAAGGACCGAGTCTTTGCAAGCCCCGTTACCCATCATTTGAAATGTTCATGCATGATAGCACGAGACAAATTGATGGA